ATGCGTAGTTTATTTACTCGGGCCGAAAAACACGGTTCTCTTTTCTCGGGAACGCCCTGTATTTATCCCCCTAGCTGTCATGGCGGTGGCAGTGTCGCGAACACCCTGTATGCTCTGCAGTGCCAGGTGACAGTCGCGCCCCTAACGAACCTGAAGTTATCGCAAGCAGACAACGCAACGGAAAAGTATATGCTCCGTGACGTTCTAGACGTTTGCGAGCCCCATTTTTGTATCATAAGAGTTTAAACAATTACTTACGTGCAGTGTGTTTACACAACGATATCCACTGAACACAAACCGCAACGATGTAGCGCGCATGGAAACAGACATTTATTTATTCTTTAAGTAGGGCAGATTTTTACGTACAAGTGAATCGCGCCTGAAAAACGGAAAGTAAGATCTACCCATTAGAACTATGTTCTCAATACTTACTATTGATATGAGGTACAACGTGCAAACCTTATGTCGCCATTTCAGAATAGGTGGTCACAAAAAGATGCCAAAACTTCGAAGTAAGAGCACCAGTCGGTCAAGCGGATATTGCTAGAATGCCAACCAGTGGCAGGCGTGCCCACAAGCAGACACGCACATAACCACAACACACCAAAAAGGGACGAAAACAATGACTGTATGCACAAGCACTTTATAACCATTGCAGCAGTAAGAATAAAGCGCAACTGAAAACAGAAGAGCAACTGTGGGCGCTCCATCGCAAACCGAAACAAAAAGCTATGGCGAATAAAAAACAAGTTTGCAGACGCCACAAATGCCTCGGAGCTCAAAGAAATAATGTCAAGAGTATGGGCGTAACATAGCAGACGACTGGTGCTTGCAAGCAACAAAGTGTCTGAGAAAGAGTCGACCCCCCCCCCCCCCCCCCCATACTAAACAAATAAATAATAAAAAGTAGCAGTCCGATGGCTCTAACACGGAGTCCGCTGAGGAAGAGACTGTAAAAGGAAAGACAAACAGAAACACGGTTGAAGTACAGGCAGGCTGGCTGATGATTACAGTTTTGGAATTTAACCCGAGCCTGAGGTACGAAATATAAGTTTAAACGCAGAAGGAACAGAAACAGGGAAGGAAAAGGAGGCGTAGAAGGGGCAGAAAGGCAGGTGGTGGAAAGGACGCCGCGGCACAGCGGCGTCTGAACCAAACAAAAAAGGTAAAATCAAATTAGAAAGACGTACTCAGAAGCGACACCGCCCTCCCAGTGCTGGCTTCTGAGTAGCCAACACCAACGTTAAAGATGAGAAAAAAAATTGGAGAACCGCGAAATATTCCGCTTCTGTCGAAAGGTGAGAGAAAGAGTGCAATCAACTTAGATTTGCACGCGTTTATGCGGCACCTCTGAGCTGTCAAGAAAAACATATACTACTTCTTCCATAGCCCCCACGCGTCATCGTAAGGACGTTATTCATCCTCTTCATCACGGCACGCTGACCAACACCCTCCCCCTCCCCCTCCCCCCCCCCCCCCCCCCCCCCCCCCTCAAGAAATACCTACGTCCGCCCCTGGGTGTGACAGAACTCAAATTACTCCTAATGGACCTTTTCCGAGAAGCGCTCTGAGCAGGCGCGAGTGCCCGATGCCAAGCGGCGGAAGTCGGAACGAAAAATCGAGGAAATTCGGAATGAGCCTGTGAATAAGCGAGTAGAACAGGTAATCAGCATATATATAATTGGGTTACACAAAAAAAGAAAGTGGACGGAAGGAAAAACACACCGATTGAATGGACGCCACGGAAGCCCATCACGCACGCATGCTTTGGAAGTTTGACAAGACAGATCACGATCACCTTGCACGTCTAGCACACCTTGCACCTTGGTGCATGGCAATGACAGGAGAGGACCCACTCAGAGTGCGTACCGTCCTGCATCCGGTCTACACGGCGAAAACACTCCCCGTGGATCACCCCAGATATCATGAAAGCAGCAAAAAGAAAGAGAGCCCTATATAAGAAAGCCTCGCGCACCAACTGCCCCAGAGCTACAGGTAGCAAAGGATCATCAGCGGTCTCTGAAGGCTGCCATTTACGTTGCTCACCAGCAGTACGCTGCTGGAATAGCTCAGAAGGCAAGAGACGATCCGAAAGTGTTCTGGTCCTACGTAAGCCGCCTTCGATCACCTGGGCACCGTCCCAGTTTCAGTGCAAACGGGAGGATGATTGATGCACCTGCTGAGGTCGCAGAGCTCTTTGCAAACCACTTCTCGTCCGTGTATAGTGGTGCGCGATACAGACACCGCACAGTGACCCCTCTCCCCAAGCTGGTGCCTGCGTACCTGCAGATACCGACGACGGCTCGCAGCTGGAATCCGTCCCCTTTACTCAAGAGACACTCTGCACCGCCATCTCCAAAATCAAGCCCTCCCAAAGCCCTGGCCCAGACGGTGTGGCACCAGCCTTTTTCAAAATGATAGCGCAGCACACCTTGCCATCTCTATCCAAAGTGCTGCAGGCCCTCCTCGACGAGGGTGCCGTCCCTGCCACCTGGCGTCGAGCCCTGATCACCCCTACCCACAAGGGGAAGGGGAAGTCTACGGACAATGTGCAACACTATCGCCCAGTCTCCCTGACTTCAATTATATGCCGCACTTTCGAGCGTGTCGTGAAGGCTCATCTTCTTGACTTTCTGGAGCATCTGGCTCTCTGTCACAGACGCAGCATGGCTTTCGCCACCCGCAGCTGCGAGACAGCGCTGACGACCCTCAGTCACTTTGTAAGCAACAACCTCGACAACCGCACAGAAACCGACCTCGTCCAGCTAGACCTCAGCAACGCCTTTGACACCCTCGACACGGGCCTTCTGTTAAAGAAAGTGGCCAAAGCTGGCGTACAGGGCTCCCTCCTCAAGTGGATTACGAACTTCCTAAGGGACCGCAGCCAACGTGTTGTGTATACCGTGGTGCGTGCTCGGTGGACACGAGGGTCCCTTCCGGAGTGCCTCAAGGATCAGTCTTAGCCCCCACAGTCGATCTTCTTAATGTTTGTTAACGATATGCCCCAGGTTGACAAGTTTCTCCTCGTCCAGTACGCGGATGATACCTCCATCTTGGCCCCACTAGTTTCACCTGCCACGCACCACCATCTGCAGGACTACCTCATTAAGATTGGTTCCTGGGCATCACAGAACCTTCTGTGCTTGAGCCCTGCTAAAAGCTCTGTATTGCGCTTTAGCAGTTCGCATAGGGTGGAGGCCCCTACATACAGTCTCCACGGTGTCCCGCTGGTCGTGAACGACAGGCTAACCATACTTGGTGTCAACTTCACGCGAACGCTTGACTTCTCCGCCCACGTGGCTGGCGTTGCTGCGAAGGCTCGCCGCACTATGGGTTTTGTCTCCCGCGTGTCCAAGCCATGTGGCCCTTTGGCTTTTCGCACATTGTACACGTCGATAGTGTTGCCTATGCTGGAATATTACAGTGCGGTGTGGTCTCCATCGCAGCAGCAACTTAAGCTACTCGCATTGAAAGTGTCCAAAGAAGAGGAACAAGAACTTTATGTGCGCGCGCTACAGGTGCTGCCGACACACACTGCGAAGCACGTTTAAACATTGCGGGTTGGCGATCCCTTGAACAGCGACGAAGCATCGCCCGTATGCGTCTGTTGTGTCGTGTGCTGAACGGCTCACTGTCTGGCACATACCTGTCCACAGCCGTACGTGTGAACAGGCGCACCGGCCAGCCTGAGCCGCTGCACACTCGGACTAAAAGGCACGGCCTGTCACTGCTCCCCGCGGCCATCGGGGAACTCCTCTCTGTTCCGCTGAAGGAGCGTCAGCCCCTCCCGCGGTGCAGGGAGGAGTCCCTGGACTTGTGCAAAAAGTATGGTAAACTGATGTCCGCAGGGGGAAGGACGTAACCACCCGTGTTCGCCCTGCTGCGAGCGTTGGCGGGGCCTAAGCCGTTTTCCGCGGGCAAGCAATTTTTGGTAAACTCTGCGCGCGCGCGTGTGTGTGTGTGTGTGGGGGGGGGGGGGGGGGGGGAAACAAATAAGTGCGTGAACGCGCGCGCGTGCGTGCGGTGTGTGTGTGTGTGTGTGTGTGTGTGTGTTTGAGAGAGCGCGTTGTCTGCCTTGGAATTGCATGGGGTTGTTAACCGTTTTTGTATATGTATCTGTCTGTTTTGAGTGTTTGTATTTATTTTTCCCCACTTGGCGGCGGGCTAGCAGGCACACCTGCGTAAGGGTCTCATGCCTTTCTGCTTAGCCTTGCACGCTGCCGAGTGGGTATCGCAATCTGTGCAAATAAAAATTATTATTATTATTATTATTATTATTATTATTATTATTATCTTTAAGCTCGTGTTGGGGCACGCGCCGCAGCTCGGAGAGCGAAGAAACTGGTAGCGTAGCTCCCGGTAATGATTGGTAGCGCAGGTAGGTCACTTCCTCGATTTTTAGTTCGTGCAGCCACCGCCTGGTGCCGTCGGTACGTGGAAAAGGTCCATTAGCGCTTAAGTGTGCTATGAAAAGATCAGAAATGGCGGCACAGATATGAATTAATTTGAGTGCCACGGCGGAGCGTGGGAGTTTCAATACTCTGGAAACCTATTCAGTGACTCTATCGGGGCTGCTGCAAGGAATCAGAATATAGCAGCAGCAATCTTTCTGGGAACCATAGTGAACCGTAGTAGCAGTAATAACAAACAACCGCGCTCTCAAACAGTTCGTGTTTTCAGTTTCGGTTTCATGCACTCGCTAATCCGCATGATGCGGCCTATGTGCGGTTTCGACTTTTAGATACCCTTGCCTTAATTTTGCTTTTCATTCTTCTGCGTCTTATCCTTGGGAAAGAAAAACTTTGTGTGTATTATGTATACCCATGTGTGTAACCTATCTTTCGAGCAAAAAGAAAATAATAAAGTAACCTAACAGGTAAGGTAAACCGACAAACCGGAGCGAGTTTCGCCGTTTCGCCAGTTTCGCTCGCATTGTTTTCCTCTCCCTCTCTCTTTCTCTCTTGCAAGTCCGATTGTGGTTGTTATGGCAACACATTGACGTAAGCCCAAGCGGGCGCCCAAGCGCCCAAGCTTTTGGGCTCTTGTTTCGTGTGTCTGTGCGTGCGAGGTTGTTTGTGGCCTCCATTTCACAGTATTTCCAGCATCTTTGCTCCCCTGCCTGGGTGCAACATTGGACATCTGCTAAATTATCCTTGGAGCGGACGGAACCTTTCAATGATGTTAGCATCGACCTAACTATTCCCAGCTTCGAATAAGTAAGTAATAGACGACGCTCGCTTGGAAAACCGCTGACCCGACCTTCCCAATTCGCACCAACACCGGAGATCGCGCACTCGACGTCGCTCGCCCCGCTTTAAGCCTACAGAAAATTGGTTATTTTTACGTAAATGGCTTGTCTTGCGGCACAGAGATGCCAGAAAATCGTATCTGGGAACGATCTCTGCGCTTTGTGCTGCAGCACTCGACGCGCGCGAGCGGCGTAGCTGCCCGGCGGAAGTCCGCGACAGCTCGCTTCACGCACAGCACAACGGTCAACGGCACACGAAGAGAAGTGAGAGGTGATCGTTCGACGGTTGACGTCCACCCGCCCTCGTTTCTGTTTCTTGCAGGTTTGTAGTCTAGGTCTAGCATGGAGTCCAGCACATGTCTAGACCTAGCGCTAGAAGGCGAAAGGTTGTGCAAAGCAGGCGATTTCAGCGCGGGGGTTGAGTTCTTGCGAGCCGCAGTCAACGTAGGGACCGATGACACCCGAGTACTCAGTGCCATTTACAGTCAGCTGGGCAATGCTTCCTTTTACCTGGGAGATTACAGTAAGGCCTTCGAATACCACCAGCTCGATCTCAAAATTGCCAAGTAAGTGGAATCTTGGCTGCTTTTTGTTCTGTCGTTATGTTTGTTCTCGTTTGGTTGCTTCCGTCCGCCTTTGTTGGCTCACGTTACATTGAATTTTTCAAATGGTCGTGTGGGCGATGTCCTACTGGCTGTACGGCTGTACTACCCTCGCCTAGTGCGGCTGTTGGATTAGTGCTCAGATGCATGCATGTCAGGCAACTAATCCAATCTACGCAGTACTCAAAGAAAGAGCAAAACAATTTTGTAACAGACCGATGCTCGTTGTGCCTCATAAAGATGCCTTGCACGATATTTCTATCGTTTGGAATGCTGAAACTGAAAGTGCAACGTCTCGTAGAAATTATGCAATTTTTTTTAAAGCAAATTGTGATTCCGTTTTTAGTTAAACCAAGCATCCGCTGCTGCTGTCCTCACCTTTCGCAGATAACTTCAGAATTGTGAAAAAAGGTATAATCAGCCTTGTTTTGCTTGTTTCTTGTTAAGTTTTGTGACCCAGAAATCCCGTAGCTCGTGAAATGTCCCAATAGCAATGCTGTCAGTCAAACCAGATGAATTCGAAACGATCCGTTTTGAAGACCAATAGCATTTCTAAAAAAGTAAACTGACTTGCACTTTCAAGAGCAAAATTTCTGTTGCTTCTTTGCTATCTTTTTTTGCTTCTTTTTTTTTTCGTTTTTCAGCTTTGTCGTTTTTCAGTTGCTCGCTGATAGAACTGCGGTACCTAGAACACGTCTGACTTGTGTGTTTAACCTCCCCGAAGGACAACAAAATATATCAAAAGAGCTGTCAAGGACTGCTAAAAAGTTTCGCATGGTGGCTGTTGCAGCAGACTATTGGGAATCACTGTCCCTGACATTGCAACCTGTCTGTATGAGTTTCTATCTTTTGTCCACTGCTGTGCCACCACCTGGATCACAACGATGTGCAGCAGTCCTCCTCATTTGTGACATCATCCTGGGGATGTGAGGGACAAAACAGAGTTGCAGTAGACACACCAGTCAGAGACATGGTCCAGACACCGTAGTAGAGCTATTACCCCTCTCCGTTTTGCTTCCCATGCTCGAAAGTGGCTGTGACCCCCTCCCCTTCGCCCCCGCTACTGTAGGGCGAGTGGTGACTTACTGGGGGAAGCAAAGGCCAGTGGAAACTTGGGCAACACCCTCAAAATGATGGGCAAGTTTGACGAAGCTATCGGTAATTGCGAGAGGCACCTAAGCATATCCAGGGACAAAGGTGACAAAGTAGGTTATTTTCCTTTTGGTTGCTTCTTATGTTGCTGCTGTTTTCACTGCTGCTTTCTTTTTTTATTGGTTAAGGTGTCATCCTCAAAGTGAATGTGGAGCTCGGATAACATTGGGGACTAGTAATGCATGGGTGACTCACGGGCTAGGCATGAAAGGATGTTTGTTCCTGTTTTTCGTTTTGTTCTGCATAACTGTTTTGACAAAGTCCCTTTTTATTCTACCAGTTTTGAATGGTGCTCGAAGTAGGTTGATCCACATTTCATGCAGTTGTTTCTGCTGCAGACCAGAGAACTGAAAAGCAAACACCTAAGGGTGTCGTACCGTTTGAGGTGGGCTTCTAAATCCTGAAAGTCTACAAGCTGCTTTCTAACGGTCTTTCTGATGTCGGATAGACTAGAGCACTGCACGGACCAGAATTTCTAGGCCCGGCCCAACCCGGCCAGGTAGAGACACGGCCTGGGCCCGGCCCGAGCCCGACAGAATATTTATTTTCTAGACACGGCCCGATAACGACACTGCCCGGGTCTGGCGTGAGCCCAAGAGAATTTTTGACATAAGCATGGCCCGTGCCCGACAAATGTTTTTTAAATATGGGCCTGAGTTCGGCACTAGCCTGACAGATAATAAATATGCCCGGAAAAGTTTGCAGGCTTCACCCAAAAAACTCTCTAAGGAAAAAGCATGCACTCTCTCACTATGCTGGTGAAGTCCATATGTTTTCTTTTATCCACTTGAAGACTTTCTCAGTGCAGAATGTCTTTTTCTTCTTTTTATTTTTTTAACGGCACTGTAGTGACTCTGCACTTTGCTTGTTTGTTTTCATTGAAACCAAAAGATCATTCAGCACACTTTGGTATCAACAATTTAGAATTTGCTGCACATGACTACCCAGGCACGGCCTGGACTGGCCCGGGCCTGAGAAAATGCGTGCTACCCGAGCCTGGTCCACTGGCCGGGCCGGGCCCATGCAGTGCTCTAGGAAATACTGCTTGATGATATTAGCACAATATTAATTAGGAAAAGCTATAGGAGGAGGAAGTGAGCTCATGAAGGCACCCTTAAAGGTGCAGGCGGCAACAGAAGAAACATTCTTGAATGAAGTCACTGGCAGCACCCACGCCTGAGTGCACGTTTGGTACTTTTTATACTATTCACTTCTGCCAATGCTAAAAGAATGGGATCGACGAGCGTAGTGTGACATTCTCGACTTCAGAGCATTTCCTATGGAGGGCATCGCCTAAATCATTGTTGTCCACACAATCTGAAATAATCAGATTTGAAACGCACATCTGCAGGTTAGGTTCAAATCTCAATTTTTTTCGCTTGAAGTGAAAAATGAGTCTGTACAATTGATACTTTGTTCTTTGCTGGGATGACAGGATACAGATCCTTGCACATTACTAACCTGACGAGGACACATCGTTTCACTGGTTTTGTTTTAATTCTGAGAGAAAATTGATTTTTAGTCAAGAAATTTATCAATGTGATTGAGATTCAAGTGGCTCATTTTGATCTCCAGCACCCCTATGCTCTCCACCTGCAAACCGTGTCTGATTTGCAGATTTTTCTGGTGAGCTTAATTATCTCTGACTTTTGCGTGGTGATTTTACCTTTAAGATGGACAGAAAAAATTGAAACAAGTGATTGGAGACGGCCAAATGGAAGCAGTACACTAATTTGGACTTAATGTCATAAGCATGAATAAATCTATGGTTGCATAATTAGGTAAAATGCCTCTTGCACATGTGTGTAGTATCTTCATTGTTAGCACTAGCTAAAATCTAGGAAGCAATAAATTTGAGTGGATCGTAAAAAAGTCTCCAAGTAAGTCCTTCCTGACAATTACTGCGACCCCATAGAGTCTTTATATTGAGGCTTTCACTTTCTAAGATCTAGTTTCAGAACATTTTGGCTAGGGCTTTTCAGTCACCAGGAGTAACAACCTTCATCTCCAGCGATTCTAAAATTGGAAATAGTGGAACACGATACAATTGTTTCCCACACTACCTCCTGTAACCATCGAAGTAATTGTATCAATGTTGCCTTTTGTAGCCATTTGTCTTTCTTGTGGTACTCATAAAACAATTACAAAGTAAACACTTGAAGAAGCTAAAATAATTTGTGAAAACGTTGACATTTTTTCAAACCATCTTTAAAAAAGGAATCAAATGCTGATAGTAAGCTTAGCTGAGCTCATACAGCGCTGTAAAACTTGAGGTTTGACCTTATGTTCTTTTAAGGAGCTTGTAAAGTACTAGGACTGCAGCTGAAGATATTATAAGTATAGAATTATGAAATCACATTGGGCGCTTTAGGTCTACTTATTAATATTCATGCCAATATCTCTTGAGGACTATATTGTATTTATAATGAGCTCCTCAACCCATTTCATGCTTATGAACACGTGAGAAGGGAGGCAAACACAATCAATTGGTGTCTGATAGTAAAAGAAGGAAAAATACAACACTAAAAATAATAAAGATTTAAAAAAAAAAAAGTTTGCTTGTCTAAACTTTAACGTGGTGAATGAGTTCTCAAAATTTTAAATGTGTCATTAAAATTATTAATGAAAACAGTGTAAACTTGATTTCGAAATCACCCCTACAAGCCGAGAAGTTTGCTGATAACAGATTTGTTTTGTCACTAGCCGTATACTGTGGCATCAGTGATTCACCAATCACACAATGTCTTTCTCACTTTTTCTATTTCACTGCCACGAGGAGGAGAGCATGCTGCACATTTCTAGGGTCACTTTGTATTGCAATAAAAGAAAGTATACGGGCAAAATACCATTTTATCTTGTCCAAAATTTAATTACCAATTCTCGAGGCAAACAAAAAAAAAATGTTTCGTTTCCCCTTTACCGCAACCAAAGTCCGACTATGGCCTGCTTCTCCCTCTTGCAGATAGGCGAAGCCCGGGCCCTGTACAACTTGGGCAATGTGTTCCATGCAAAGGGCAAGCACATAGCACGCGCAAGCCAGCAAGAACCCGGAGAGCTTCCCTCAGACGTCCAGGACTGCCTTCAAAGGGCCATCCAGTGCTATGAGTAAGTCGGCCAATCATCTCAAAATATATGCTTTCAAGCCAGTTCAGCTCTCGAAGTATACATGCGTCAGATTGACTTCAATTATATGTTACTGTAGTTAAAGTGTGTGTATCCGTCTTATGTACAAAGGGTGTCTTTCGCGAGCGTGTCAGCGGCAGCTCTGGTGGGACTGTGGCACACCAGCATACGGTTCGTAATGTACTCTCAAAGGTCTCGATGCACCAAGAACGTCCAGTTACGTCAGTCCTGTCCTAAAAGGGGAACTGCTGGGAATTCTACAAATTGAAGGGACGACCAAGTTCCATTTTATGTCGCCTAATAAGATCCCAGCAGAAATATAACCTAATCTTTTTTTTAACTTCTGCAACATCTCTAAAGATAGCTCTCCCACCTCGGAGGCTAGATCAGTGGAAACAACAGTGTGGGCTAACCTTTGGTCTGCTGCCCCAAAAAAAGCTGAGGAAGCAAAATGCTTAGCTTGGCTTCTCGTCCACTGGTGCCAAATTCAGCAGCCCTGATGACCATGTCGTGGGTGTCACACTGTATTTGAAGGACAAATAAGGCCTTTGTTTGTTCTATTGCCTCCTAGGTTCTTAAAGGAACAGACGCTATTGTTGTTGAACTTTGTATTGCTTACCCCAGGGGTGGTCAGGCTGACCCGGCCCAAGAGCCGCAAACAAAGCTACGAAACTTTCTAGGGGGGGCGGGAGGTGGCGGGTGGCAGGGGCAAGGCAGGCAAATTTTTGTCTAGAGCAATAAATGAAACTCGAAGTACTCTTAGTCTATCTGAGTCAAAAGCAGCCCAACTGTACGTAAGGTAGCAGTAGCACAAGAATACCAAACCGCAACCTGTCTTTCGATTTAAAACATGTTCTTTTCCTCTTTTTGGGGAGTGCGCGTGTGACTGGGAGGGAGGGGGGGGAGGTAGGGGAGAGAGTTCTGAGCCGCAGCTTGGCCACCCCTGGCTTACCCTATTGCACAAATTGCCAGAACTGAGGCAACGCAATTTCTGGGGGTCAGTTATTGGGATGTTACGGTGTGTTAAAAACGGTGTTTAGACTACCACACTGCATACTTTCAGGGAAAACCTTGAGTTGATGGTGTTCCTGGATGACCGTTCGGCCCAGGGACGTGCTTACGGAAACTTGGGGAACACCCACTACCTGCTGGGAAACTTTAGGAAAGCCATCACCTACCACGAACAGGTGAACTTGGTTCACTCTCCTTAGCCGTCGCCAGAGATTTCTCTTATAGGGGCACTCAAGTGGTTTTTGAGTTTGTGTTTTGATGATGACAGCTGAATTTAGACCCCCTAAGTGTCCCTAAAAACCAAAAAGTATAGTAGTCATACAGTGATTATTTCTTTAATAAAAATGTAATTGAAGGCCGCCAAACCTCGGATCCATTCGAAAACAAAACCACTCTCATTGGTCCTCGCACGCTTATCAAAAGGATCTCGGGCCAATGGCGTTGGACGACGTTCTGTCGCGCAGTGATCCCGAGGTAGCCGCATCGGCCGAACCTCTTCGTAATTCGAGCTTCGATCATGGCGGAGTTCTCTACGCTCGAGGACCTGACGCCGTTAGAGGTTGAAATTCTTCGGCGGACAGCCGACCTGGGGATGATTCCCTATGACGCCACTCCGACGTACGATGTGGACGATAGCAGCGCTTCGGAGTCATGTTTGGGTTCCGAGGATGACGAAACGCAAACCTTTTCGGGCGTTCTTCGATTTGCGGTTGGGGCAAGTCGTAACCAAACCAACGTTTGACATCGCAGCGTTACCTCTGGTACGTGATGTCAAACGATGTCGCCACGTTGACTTTCGCCTCGGGAGGACGGGGGGAAGGCTGGTTCAGACATGTGCAACGAGCGCGTACCTACGACTGCGTCCGTTGCAACCGGAGCGACCGGAACGAACGCTGTGCGCCGCGCGTACACACACGTGCAACCACTACAACAAGCGCAGCGGGTCGTCAGCACGGCGACTGCTTCTATACGCTGCCGTCAGCTGTTTCAGCGGCCCCTCTAAAAAGGGGACGCACTGCTACTCAATGCCGTAACAGAATATAGACAGACAGTTTTCTATAGCCTAAAGCTTTATTATTATTTTTTCTTGATAGGCTTGCAGGATACAGTGGATGAAAAAAATAAAATAAAAATATGCAGTCCGCCGTCTTGGACGATCATGACTTTAATACACGACATTGCAATAGTACAAATATCGCCACACGCCTTTTCTACGATTATAAAAGACAATGTAATCTTAGCAGCGATATAGCAATGGGGAAATATGATTTCGTGATCAGATAGACGTTGCGAGCGTTAAGGATTGCTAACACTAATCACTTTTCTCCGGTGATGAAAACGCGTGAAAATTCGCATCCTTTATACAGTACGCACCAGTAATACCTTGAACTTGAGCACACGCATGAAATGCGCCAAATAAGAAATTCGGGCGATGTTCGAGGACACAAATGCTTAGAAAGCACCACTGTAGTCGAAGTAAACAAACACGAAGGCACGGGCGTTTCTGCTGTCTTGAGAGTGCCGCCACAACATCGCCGCACGAGTAGGTGGATCTTCCCTTCTAGTAGGTGCTGGGTTATCATAGCGACACACAACGAAAATTCACAGTCAAGGATAGCGCTTTTACGTGGAACGATGAGCTTTCACCACGCCGTCCACGCCGATTCTATGTTTGCTGATAGAAGGAGCCCGCCCGCGACCGGCACGACCGGCCTGCGACGCGCGGAGATACGTGCGCTGCCGCGCATCCCTGGGGAACGGGAAATTCACACCCCACGGAGGAAGGCAAGGAGAAAACATAGTCCCTTGTTTGTGAAACGATAATTACAGTATCGCATATTCTCAACTAGAAATATTTTACGTCTTGTGAAATTATCACGCACAACATATTTAAATGGACTGAAAATTGTTTCTTTAGCGAAACTTTACAAAAACCGCCAAATTTTCAAACATACGATAATTTCATTGGTCCTCGCAAGTACAGAAAAGAGTCCGCACGTATTTCATTCCTGCGTGATTAATAGGCGGTTCTGCCTTCTAAAACTGAAGATACTCATTCACTGACACTTCCTTAACGCCCATCGCACCAAAAAGTAGCTTCTCCAAAAACCGCTTGAGTGCCCCTTTAAAGGGTTGCTGAACCGAAATTTTGGGTGGAAATTCTTGATCGCAATGGCATACATAGCATGTGTTTTACTTCTAAATGACGTTGTTTTGAGTGAGAAGGCGCATAAAATTGAATAAACACGAAAAATACAATTTTACGCGACCCCTGGTGAGCGTCGTGGAAAGCTCGCTTCGTGACGTGCGCATTCTCATTCGCCTCAAAAGACAGATGGAGCCAAGCCAAGCCAGGCGCTAAGCCGGGGGTGGCGTTTGTTCTTGTTACTACCACGCGGGCAAAGTGGTACTAGTACCAGCCGCTTTGAGAACAGCCGCCGAGCGAAGAATCAAGGCGAGCACCAACGAACGAGGAGAATGCGCGGAGGCACCAGGGGCGCTGGGGGCGCCGAGAATGCGCACGTCAGCTCCGCTACGCCTGCTCTCAGAAGGACTCGCTCGCGCCGGCGGCTTCCGGCCGAGGATTCGCTCTTAATTCAAAGAAATACAATAATTCGGGCCCCATCCGTCTGATTGAATATCGTTTTTAGGTACAGTACCATCCCGTGAAGCCCGCTCGGGCAATAATTATGAGATTTCAATTATCGGTTCAGCATCCCTTTAATGTGTTGGCTCAAAGCCGGCAGAACCCTGAATTGTAGTTTGTGCTGTGGCATCCATCCTAAGTGTCTAGATTTGTTGAAATGTGGAGACTCGTTTGTTTCTGCTTACCTCCGTTTAAACATGTTTTTGTTACCTCTCTGGTGGTCAGAGGCTCAAGCTAGCAAAGGAGTTTGGGGACAAGGCAGCCCAGCGAAGGGCGAACAGCAACCTCGGCAACGCTCACATCTTCCTTGGGGAGTTTGAAGTTGCAGCCGATCATTACGGGTAAGGAAGGTTTGATTCTCACCGTGCGACTTGTCGTTCGTTGGCAAAAGAATACGCCTTATACATTTCTTGGGCCGTGCAAAAGCATGGCCCATGGGCTTGCCGCATAGTACTGCTTGTTTGCTACAGATGTCTAAAGAACAAATCTGAGGCTTGGCTTTTCATTCAAACTGATTATTCTTCATTTAACGCAAATCCTTGGCACAAACGACACCGGCTCTTACGTTCAGGCGTGGCTTGGATCCCCGTTACGTCTCTAGGTTTCCTTCCTGGTGAAGAGAAAAACTCACCTTGGTTCTTAATGTCGTACCTAATGGATTACGACACAAGCACATCTGCAATTACAGCAGCGTCCTGTAGAATTTGTGTCTATTCTTCGTTTGCAATTTTTTTTTGCCGCTTATCTTCATCATGCACTCTACGTCCCACTGCAGGGCTTCTCAAACTCTTTGATCTCGAGGAACCACTTTCGATCTCGACTCTGGTGCAATAAAGTGGTACATGAGCCAGCAGAACTTGCAAACAATAACACACATATACTAGGGAGCATTCGGCTTACAGTTAGGCATCAATGAGTAAATCAGATCCGCTAAAATAGTGCTTAAACTGGAAGAGCGCTTTACTTAGGGGCCGGTCGAGAAATATTGAGAGCTTGGGGCACCCCAGTCCTCCTAGGAAACCAGTCGGAGAACCTAGAGCATTCCCTGGCATCCATCCCTCCCCCTGGACCTCTCGTAGGAAAACCTACCGCTTGGCCCAAGAGCTCGGCGACCGGGCAGTGGAGGCGCAGGCGTGCTACAGCCTCGGCAACACCTACACGCTGCTGCGGGACTTTGAGCGGGCCATCGAGTTCCATCTGAGGCACCTGCGCATCGCCCAGGAGCTCAGGGACAAGGTTGGAGAGGGCCGTGCCTACTGGAGCCTTGGCAATGCCCACTGCTCCCTGGGCAACCACAGGGAGGCCCTGCACTATGCCAACCGACACTTCCAGGTCTCCAAAGAGGCGAGTATCGGGACCTGGGTGGGGACTGGCGCTGCAAAAGAGTGCTGTGAGGCAGATGGTGCAGGACGACACGGTGGCGACGACGGCACTTATGCAATGTGAATGAATTTCATATGGAACCAGCTGAACACGGGAAGAAAGGACGGAGATAAGAAAAGACACTCGACCGCTGGATTACCACCTATTTATTGAATCTTCCTCTTCTACCAGTGTTGTTCCTTTTCTTCATTAATCCTTTTTTTCTTCCCCATTTTTTTTACATCTATTGAGCAAGTGGATTGGTGCCCTGCAGAAACAGGTTTTCTTTGGGTTTCAAGGTGAATGGAGGGAAACTCGCACGATTATCTTCTGTTCCTTCTATAGCAAGGGCATCCGACATCTCTCGTGCAATCTGGTTTGTGTTGTGTCCTAGGATGCGGACTTGCTTGAGGTTTGCTTTGCATTTGCATGATCGACAATGGACAGCTCGTGCTCTTCCTGTGTTCAGCTGGTTCCACGTGAAATGAATAACCAACTAGCTCAGCTCATTTCCCTTGTGAATGAATCGTGATGGCGCTACACGACTTGTTTGCTCCCATTTGAAGCCAAAACGTAACTGAGTAAATTGACCATAAATGCACTTTTTTTTATTACTGAGGTATTGCATGTCTTGCTTCCTTTCTGGAACATAAAAATGAGTATCAAAACGCTTCAAATGATAGCAAGAATGCTTCAAAATGAATGCGAGACAGACTGACGTTGAAGGAGCTGATTGCCGTGCTCATAAGCGTTGGCTTCCTCTCCACTCTGCAACCTGTTGGGATCATTTAACCTTTGCTCTGCTCACTAATTATGTTCCCGCCCACACAGTTTGCTTCTCAGACTGTTCTAGACGCCAGCAGTTTGAAACAGTAAATACTTCTCTAACGCTTGTCGATAATATTGCAGATGCCGCCGTCACTTTGGATTTGTTTAGCAGAGGTCCATCCAGTCCCCTAAGGTAGCCAATCTTAGTTGAACTTGGCCGTCATTAGCGTCTCCAAGGCAGTTAATGCCGCCGTGTAGCTCCGGCCGATCGTGGTTGATCCAACTTTCGTTAGCTCAATGACAGCTGGAAGTGTACGTGCTGCTAGGGTTTTTGAGTGGACAGGAACCATGGGAGCAAAAGTCTGTCTTTTTCCTGCCTATTGCTTTACAACACGTGCACACTGACAGCCGGGCATTTTATCGGCCTCACCTCTAGTGCATGCCTGCCAATTTCATCATACTTAGACATTGTGCAACCTTCTATTGCGCAATCTCGGCCGAAGCACCGTCGAGGGCAGCAACCTCACCGCTGGGGGTTTGACTTACGAAAGTGATGCCTCGCCATTTCCAACTTGCTAGTAGCGTGCATACCTTTTACTGAAGCTACGCTTTTCTCAACAGCTTGGAGACAGAGTAGGGCAGGCGACGGCACAGATGAGCATTTCCGATCTCAAGCAAGTCATTGAAGGCCCTTCTTTCGGTGAGCAAACGTTGTGCGATGTCCGAACGTGCCCCGACGCCTTGCTCGGATTGGATCAGGGTACCAGTGTCGCCTCCTCTTGCAGACGATGCAAGCAAGGCTCGGAGAGCGAGCATGGAGCAGGTGAACCTACTGAACTCTGCTCCGGAACCCCAGGTAATGTCCTAGGCCGTCGCTGCCGGTTGCCTTCCATATCGGCATTTGCTTACGACCGAGTTTTTGCAACCTCTCGCGACAAGAGAATACATGTATGTATTTATGCAACACTTGCTCTTTGCTACGAGCGTCTGCAAAACAGACACGCTGGTGGCGCCATCTATGAGGTGACCCCGGAACTGCATTTCATTAAAGCGAACGTTTTGCGGTGTTTGCAAGACCAAGTGTCTGTACTATATACGAGAAATAGTTGTTTATAACATTGTCAAGACTTTTTTCTAGCCGAAAAAGAAAGAATGAAGCACAAAAAAAATAGAAAATACACGGAATCGCCAAGTGTTCCACGGCTCTTCGACAGATGGCGCCACATAAGAGGTTTTAAGAGGGCTTGGAGGTACACGGTCGTAAGCAGTCGCAAGTGTGCGAGCTGGCTTCCATCGACGTTCCGGCCCACCTCCCGCTCTCAGCCGTCCCAGAAGCGTGGTGCGACAGAGGAGGAGGCAGTGGCAGCGGCCACCAAGCGGCAGCAGCCCAGTCCCCCCCCGTGCGTGCCCCGGGCGGGCTCCATGGACCAGGACGCCTTCTTCGAGCTGCTCAGCGAGTTCCAGAGCAAGCGCATGGACGACCAGCGGTGCTCCATCACGCCCCTCGAGGACAAGGAGAACGTGCTGCCCAATGGTTCCCCCCCCTACCCCAGCCCCACCAGCTCGGGTGCGTTGGCCCGCCCTGCGGATGTCTCCCACTCCGGTACGGTGCCGGGTACGCGTCTCCGACCGGTGGGTCTACCGTCCTTCCCCCGCCCGCGCATCGAAAGTGGTTCCGAACAGCAACGAATTGGGGCCAGCGCGTCGGGCTGTCAGTTGTTGCAATCCCGGCAGTTGGTCATAGAAACGCTGGCAAAAGAGACAAATGGATGCGAAGGTTGCTGTCATTGCGGTGTCTCGTCTCTCATTTGCTTTGGTGTCCGTCGGTCGTCTGGCTGCGGGGCGACCCTCGGCGGAACGGGAGTCTGCAGCTGTGGGCGTCCGAGGAGGTGGGGTGCAAGGGGGGCACCTGCCCTACTCCCCCTTAGGATTCCGAGGATATCGACGAGGAGATGTTTCGGCAGCAAACTTTTAAGCCGCGAATATGTTGTTCAAAATCCAGTCTGCAGACACTGTCCGAGACACGTTTCTTCCTCGATGACAGTCCTGACACATTGGTCGTGCAAAAGCTGTCGGAGACATGTGCAAAGCATACATATATGTATGAAACAAATGTGCTTCTAAGATGTTGTCATTGTATCTGCAGTCGCACTCGTGCGATGATGTTGCCTGCTGCAGACTGCCATCCAGTTTGATGGTTCACAGGCCCTTCAGCAGACAGCAGTTGGGACGCTACAGTGACATTTCCATTCACTCGTTTAGGTCATTTTTGGCCGAAAATTTTACGACCAGCTGCCAAGATCACAACATCCGACAATGCAACACATTGGTTTTTGCGACGCAATTTGTCGCCACTTCGGAACCACTTTTGACGCGCAAGCGGGATGGGGAGGTGAACAGAACGTTCAGAGTCACATTCCAGGCGTCTTTGACTGGGTGAACCTCTAGCATCCGTACGTCGGTGCAAACATGGTGTCTGGGCACCAGAGTTTCCATGTCGAGGTCGGGGAGGGCACATTACGATTCTCGCTGTTAGGCAGGGTGGATTATTTCCAAACCTCATAGGTTTACGGGACAGCATAGGCTGGTTTTGCGACTGTGTCACTTTATGCGGAAGTGCCACCTTGCGGTGGATATTCAGTTTCGTTTTAAAGCGATAGCTTTACTGGTGACACTTTGCGGAAATTTCGGCGTCGGCGTTCCTTGTCTGTCGTTGTAGCGGAGATGGGAAAATTCTTCTTTCCCCTCGTGGCGCGAGGAGAGAGAAGTTGAGTGTTCCCATTGGCCGCGCTGTCCGAAGAGGGAAGAGAGGACTGCCCCGACGACCTGCCTATAACGGCGCGACGACGGGGAAGTTTGGCGGAGTGTCTTTCCCTGTCGTCTGCTAACAATAACTTCAAAACGGGTGTTCTCAAACATTACTTGCGTGATACGAAATCCCACTTTGGCACTATCTTGTTGCTACACGTAATACTGGAGGTTTTTAGAAACTGCATTCGATTTCACTATAACATCTCTACTTCTTGAACGCAACTCAAAATGTAAAGTACGTTCTGCCAAAACTCGTCGCCTTGTTCCTGCCTTCCACGCAAAGCTTCGCCTCGTTTCTCTGCAGGCGTGTCTTTCTCCGCTCGTTGCTGAATCTCAACATTACCCCCCCCCCCCCTTATCGTTCAACAATATCGTGAAAGCCTGCACCTTTACTTGCGTCGGCGCAGGTTTCCTCGTCAATGTGCAAAGTAAAAGGTATAGCTTGCATGTTCGTGCAATGTGGTTGTAATGGTGTCGTTACATATTGCCGTGACAACACCATTTTGCCCATGTTTCTCAAACATGCTACAGCTACTGCTTCCATCTTTCGTTCTATGTGGGCGAAAAAGGCATCCTTTTTTTGGGAGGGGACGTGCTGAAAAGTCTTTAAATGTTACAAGTAGTACTGTTGCATGAAAGATTGAGTCGTTCCGTCTGCTAAGCAGTGTGTCTGTCCCATCTTGTGTGGGCGCCTTTTATCTTTTTACTTTAATTTTGCACAAACTGCGTTGGCATGATTTGTCTTATTTTGTTCAAATTTTTATATATTTCCACTCCCGTAGAGGGTTAAAGCAACCCGCAATGATAAATAAATAAGAAAACATTCTGTTCAGTAAATCGTTAGATATGAGACAGCAACAGATATTAAAAGAGCTCAAACATCTAAGGCCATTGCTAACCACTACAATGTCAAAAAAACACCATTCTGGATACAGTCTCAATGGTAATTGAATAAACTTGCAGCGGCAGTTAAAAGAACAAAGTGCCCATATTTTTTTGAGACACAATCACAGTAGAGTCGAGTGGATTGCCCCCGACGCAAACCTCCCTGGCACTGCAGTCAAGGAGAGAGCTGGTTTATCAAATCAATGGCAGTATGTACCCGAAGATTTCGTAGGAGGTCCGGGGAGTGAAATACCTGGACGAGACGCGAAAATCATTGTGTCGTTTCACAGCGACAGCTGTTAGCGGAAACCCCTCCAGAGGATTGCGGGGTCGTTCACGGCAAAAGCTACCGGTGACATCATTGGCTAGGTCATCAATCGCGCAATAGCTCCCAACCACACCTGGGACTCCCTGCACCTTGTCGTGCCGGTACATGCGCACGACCATCTGAGACTAGTAACTAACTCCTCTCCTCGTCCTTCGCTCGTTCTTGATGTTGAGGGGGAAGCAAAAGCATGTGGGCACATTCGGCATTCAAACGAGCTCATGAGGTGTGCAAAGAAAGGACAGATTTCCATGCTGTATGGGTACTACACCTCAGAAAGTTTGTAGCCAATCCAAATGACTTGACTTTCAGTTACGAAGCGCTGTTGTTACTGCAACGCACCCTCTGTGATAGCGTAGCTGCGCTCTGATCTTTTAAAGCGATAGCTTTACGGGCGACACTTTGCAGAGATTTCGACCTCGTGGGTTGTGGTCGTTGCTCGCGCGAAGAAGGGAGACTCTTTTTCTCTCCCCTCTTGGTGCGAGGAGAGGGAAGTCAGGACTTCTTGGCAGCTGTGCCACGCGAAGAGAGCTAAGAGGGCAGCCCTGGCATCCCGCCAAGAATGGCACAGCGAAGAAAGAATCTTCGTGTTGTCTGCTTGAAAGACTTGTTTTCAAACATTACTCACGTTATATGAAATTCCACTTTGGCAGTATCCAGTTGCTACCCGTAATGTTGGATGGATTTAGAAATTTCCACTGTGCCTACCCACTTCACGGATCACTGGTGGCGGTTGTGAGTAACATCCACGACGCCAACTACGATGGCTATGAGAATTAACCTTTCGTCCTCAAGTATGTGACGGCACCATTCCACCCGCATTGCAAGACGGTGCTACAGCTATCGCATTTGTTCAGACGTTTCGTCTGCGGCCGCAGGCCCTGAGGACAGCGCGAGCGTGCGGGAAGAGCTGCTGGACCTGATCGTGGGCATGCAAAGCCGGCGCATGGATGAGCAGCGCACGAGCCTGCCCCAGCTGCCTGGCCTGCGCCGCAGCAACCACAACAACAACAGCCTCCACCACCGCATGTCCGTCGGGTCTGTGCCTGAGGACGAGTTCTTTGACATGATCGTGCGCTGCCAGGTGGGGGCCCCTTTATGTCTTCTGGGACGCTCTTGCGGCTGTGCGTTGCTCATCCCAGATCCCGCAATTGCCGAAATTGTGCATGTTCCGAAATTGTGCGACCATGCACCCCCCCCTCTTCTTTTTTTTTTTTTTTTTCTTTTGAACATTTATTTTTTAATTGGTTAATCTCACTCACGCACATACCTAACGATTATTTGTCGCTGAGTGGACGCTTGCTTGCTTAGTGTATTATGGTATCAAAGAAATCTGAACGTCTGTACTGAAGGTAATTGTACATAAAAGATGCTTTGAAAGAGTGATGGAAATTAGCTGCACGACTCTCACGCAAACTGTGAAAAACGCTTCACACATTTGTGTTTGCTTGCAACCAAGTTCTCGTAATCTGTTGTGACGAGAAAACACACTGGCGTCGTCTGTGAGGAACTGCATTTCACTAGTGGAAAATTGTGGGCGGTGTTTCAGATCAAAAGTATGTACAGTCTGAGAGGAATGGTCGTTTGTAGCATCGTCAAAAGCTTTTCAAGCTAAAAAAGAAAGAATGATGCGCGAAGAAATAGAAATTCCACAGAAATTGAGAGGGTTCCACGGCTACCCTCGAGATAGCACCGTTATGTTTTATCATTGTAAGAGATCACTAGAGGTTATGAGGAACTCGGTCATAAAAGCTGGTTCAAACTTCACACGCTTGTAACTGCTCAGGACAGGAGGAGCTCCAAAACTGGTTTTACAGTGGCAGCTGTTGTTGCTTCAATACCCAGCAAGGAATGCGCGTGCACAAATGCAAAATCCCACTCTACAGCAGAGGCACTGCTTTCCCTCTTCCCGTCGTTCCTTACACACGGCAAGGCTCTTTCTCGCTCCACCCTCTCTTTCTCCCCCTCCAGCGGCCGTCATAGCGAAATACTCACATGTTTACGTTGCCCGGACACGCTGCCTTTCCTCCTCACTGCCACCGCCCAGGTTCCATTCTCGTGTGCTTTGCGCGCATCTACAGAACAGCTCGCGCACATCCTTGTGCTCCTAACACCGCAGATGCAATCAGAGGTGCCCCCCTCCTAAAAAGTGCTTCAGCAAAAAAAAAAAAAGCATGTTTTTTTGTGTTTTTTTTACACATGCAACATCTCGCAGAATGTTCCACCATAGCAAAAAAAGCTAAGAACCTATTGCAAGTGCTGTACAGTACATCGGATGAAGGCAAATCTCTTCAACATGTTTTACCACAACACATACGCTACCGCTGTCAGTCGCAGCACACTTTGTGCAGTCTTTCGCAATTTTTTAAGCCTCCTGTGACTGTTTACAACTGGGCAACCAGTCGTAAGCAACTTAAAAAGGCTTGAAAAGCAACTCCGGCCAATACTTTTACATTTCGGTTTATGGCTGCTTTTAGCTAAACCAGTGTCTCTAAATTACAAGGTATGATTTTTTTTTTCGATACGGTCTGTAGTTTTATAAGTACAGTAAAACCCCATTATAACAAAATGGGATATAACAAACTAATGGATATAGCAAAGCAATCATAATTCCCCTTACTTGCTAATAGTGGGAAGATATGGACATTGGCTATAACAAACTAATGGTTATAACGAAATAATTAAACCTGCTCCCTCAACTTTGTTATAACTAGGTTTTACTGTATTGTGACTCAAATTTTAGTTATGGGCATCTACGGCAAAACAAAAACTACCTGCTAGAGGAAAATCAACACTGGTCATCAGCCATACTGCCGTGACGTGACGTCACAAGGATGCTGCGGTACGCGGTACAACCGATTAACCGCAGCTCCACCGCGATGTGATGTCACAAAGGTGCTGCACCAATGTTCCTCGATTAAAAGCTATCCCGCTTGCCACCTGCTAAAGAGCAGCTGGTCGCATCTCTAAAATTGGATTTAGTTGAGTATGCGGCTTCACTTCAACGTAATATTTCAGCTGTGATCATAATTCGTGCGACTACAGCGATACCAGTCATTTATTTTGGTTTGGTTTTCAACCGAGGTTGCCTTTTAAAAGGGCACTCTGACGATTCTTTTAACTACCCTAACTAACTATATTTTCTGAATCCACAGCCTTTACACTGTCTTGTGTGCTATTTAGTATAGCAGAATCCAGAATAGAGTCTGCTTGACGTTACTCAAGAAGTTGCTGAAGCTCTTTAATACAACTATTTACAATGAGGTAAGTTTGTTGTACCGACGGGACATTGGCAGATCGCCGAGACCATCGAGTTCGATCTAGCTTGCGCGTCCGTTCATGAGACTTTTCTTTATCATTGTTAGTGTGCCCCCACGCACAAGGAAACAAGATGCTGTCCGAGATGCAGCAGTTATTGTGAAATCGGCAAATGAAAGTGATGCCGAAACCAACATTCAAATATACCCGTTCTTTTCAGTGCCACTATGTCAGTGGCAGACAGTCTAAAATCGGGAACCATAAAAAAAGTGCCAGAGTACCCCTTTAAATAAAGAGACACTAACCTTTCCTAAACTAAGTAGAAAAAATAATTTTTTACAATCTAGGTAGAACGGGCATGTCTCAAAATTAAAGGAACTGTGCAGCAATTTCAGTGCTTTGCTTAAATAATTTGGGAGTTGGTGTCTCAACCTTTCTGAAGTAAAAAAGAAAAAAACGCTTTTGCCTGCATGCCCTAGGTTTTTATTTTAAAAATTGACAAAGATTGAGGTTTTTGGCATCTCTAAACTCCTTCACCATCTTCCGAGTCGTGCGCATGTGACGTCAATGGTGGTCGCACGGGGTTCCGGTAAAGCTCCCTCCAGAGCCATCAGTGAGCAGCGAGAACTCGCCCGCTCGCGACCGCGTGCTGGCGCAGCGCAATCAACACGGCGAGAGGAGGGAAGTCTCGTCCAAGTCCGACCATCCACGTCCGGCTCTGCTGCCGTCCCCCTTTGGCTTCTGACGGCTGTTCGCGGTAGCAGATAGAGCTGACGGTTTTGTTGATCTCGGATAGATGGCGCCACTAAAACTCCATAAAATAGAAGTTTTGTCGATAATACCAGGTTTTTGACGCATTTATATTTATGTTGGAACGACAAGATATATAGAAAAATTACCTTTTATCGAACAGGTATTTGCACCACTTCCTATCTTTTTACAAGTTCCCCATTGACGTCATGCCGTGTGGTTCTCATGGCTGCCGCTCGCGGCTGGAGGTCGGGATATATTCTAACTTTTGCCTCGCGATTACGCAGCGGAATTGCAACATTTTGAAGGAAGGAGATGTGTTTTCTGTCTTTTGTGACATGATATACAATCTCAAAAGTAAAAGGTGCAAATTCTTCACTGTTAAAATCGTTGCACAGCTTCTTTAATGTTCGTAGAAACAATGTTTTGCCCAATATTTATACTACAATACAAATTTTTTGATTTGCAGGCAAAACTGAAACTGTACCCCTGTGGGATGATGATAGTGTTTGTACCCAATTATTGTGAACTCTGAGGTCCAGCGAACTCGGAGCACACACAAGTTGGTTACAAATGCTATCATCCTCCTCCCACAAAGACACAGTTTCAGCTTTGCCTGCAAATCGAAAAATTTCTATTGTAACAAAAATATTGGGCCAAATTTTTTTTTTTTTTTAAGAACATTTGTTTTGACATTTCTGTCCTAACCAGGTAGAAAAAAAAAATTTTAGGTTCAGTGTTTTTTTTAAAAGACAGTTTTAAGCCTCTCCGGTCATAAGCAGTCGCAAGTGTGTGAACCAGCCTTAAGCAGTGGCAAGTGTGTGGGTGAGAGTGACTTCTTTGCTAGTGCGCCAACAGAGCCCCATGCATTGCAGGGGAGTCGGCTCGAGGACCAGCGCAGCAGCATGCCCACTCTGCAGCGTGCCCCAAGCGCCCCGGTGCCAAGCTCTCGGTCGGCACCCACCGTGCCAGACGAAGACTTCTTCTCGCTTATTCTGCGGGTGCAGGCAGGCCGCATTGAGGACCAGCGGAGCCAGTTTCAGCCCCCCGAAGCCCCTCCCTCCGCCGCGACCGCCGCTTCTTCCTCCTCTTCCTCTGCGGCTCCTGCCCCCGTCAGAAGCAGCCTCAAGGGCAGCATCAAGTCCGCACTCAGAGGTAGCCGCTACTCCAAGTCGAAACAGTGAGCCGCAGGGCGGGGAAGGGACGCCGGCAGGCGGCTGTGAGTAGCGACGCAGTCGCAGGCCCCCGCTCTCGGGCGAGTTGCGGCGTGAAGTGTTGTTGCTGTGGTTGCCTAAGCCTTCTCGCGAGTCTGGGAGCCTTTAAGCAAGCTCGTTCGCTCTCGCTTCCGTCGTAGGTGCTTTTAGCAAGATTCAAACTAGAGCCGCCGTCGCCGCACTTTCGGGCGTCGAGCCGCGGGAATTAGCGGTGGCGGGCCCTTCCTCTCCCGGCGTCTGCATTGGCGGCAAAAGCGCCGCGACCCTCTGGGAAAGACACAACTTCTCGTGCGGTTGCGACGACAAAGCAAGCGTCTTTTCCTAAAGGGATCTGTAGAAAAAATTTTTTCGGGGAAGACAGTGCGATTGTCTACATTGTCGTCGAAAGGCCAAGCGGGGAGAAACCGCATCGGCGTAGGGCGGCCTAAATGCGGCTTTCCGGTAAAAGTGGTGAACGAGAGAACAAGCATGCAACAAATTTGAGGGAAAGACGACGCCCTCGTAGGTGCCTCTCGAGAATTGCAAATTCTCCATAGGGCATCATGCCTTGCTCAAGCCATTTTCGAAGGGGCAGTGGCGAATTGCTGCCCGTGTGTCGCGCTGCCACTCGTTCCGTCGGGAATGCATGCCAAAATAGACAAAAAAAGAAGACTGGAAAAGTTGAGCGTTTGTTTACTATGTAAATGCCATTTTTGTGTTCCCAGCGGCCGCGTACGCGGGCACGCTCGAGGCGGTGAAGTCGTAGCGTCAGTGCGGCGTGTCTCGTTTAGCCAAGGCCAAAAAGTGCTTAGCTTCTTTGACTGCAGCGCAGGGCTGTGGCGACTGCATTTCGCATTTTAAGCGTGGCAGGGAACGGGACAGAGTTAGCTGTCCATTCATTTCGTTTGCCCCGCCACGTTCGATTGTTCCGGCAGGCTTTCCGCACGACAGTCGCAAAGTGTGGACCGACTGCTCAAAGCAAGCGGTCTCTAGTGAGCGTTGTTGACTGCAGGGAAGCATTGTACAACCTCTGTGTGTGTGCGTGTGTATGTGTGCCGGTCCTCTGCCGGTCCATTTGCATCATCGGAGCCCCGACTTCGTTTGTCTTCTGTCCCGCTCGTGGTGGTGTTGTTTCCATGCAGAAGAGGTGGTTTGAGTGGCCACAGCCCGACTTGCATTTACGGACGGAGTGGATGAATTGTTGACGGCCAGAGCCTCGACTGTGCAGTACTCGAGCATGTACTCAAAGTATGGAAGGGTGCAACAGGAAGACAGACAAAAAGGAAGCCGTACCAACCTGCATGCCGGCCGTTTAGTTTAGGGGTGCAGACATAGTTGGACGTCTGGCTCTTTCTGGGAAACAAAGAGAAGGACTTGCCAGTAAGATACGAGTTTTAGAAAATTTTTTTTTTTTTTTTTTAATTGGCCGTTTCAAGTGCAGGTGGTAAAATACTCTCATAGTGCAGGTGCCTCCCTTAGAGAAATGTAGGCTCAGTATATTTGCGTGTCGGCGTGTTGATTTTCTTGCAGTATCAGGTTCCCGTTTCTTACTTGTAATAAAGCGATATCTTTAGTGCAAGGCTCTAGCTTGCAAGGTCAGCTCCACTGGCTCCTTCTCCCTTCCTCTCCCTTCTTTCTTTTTCAATCACTCGAAGGAAATGGTTGAAATACCCCAATGTTCCTAAAGTTGCAAGGTCTAGAATATTTGTGGTCATTTAGAGTAATAATTGAGTCCTCGAAATATACTTTGGTGTGGTCATCAAGAGGAGGAATAGTTTTGACTGATTTAGGATATGGGGAGACCTAACCGGAAAAAGGGCAGAAAAAAGACACTCACTTGTTTCCATCTTCCATTTACCTCCTGCAAACAGACTAAAATAATGTTTGTTGAATTTGTCGGTGGCTGTGGGGCCTAAACCTGGAAATTACAAGTAGACAACGCGTCCCAAGGTCGGCACGGGAGAGCGTGATGTCAAGCGAAAGAAAGTGATGCGTTTGCTCTCGTAATTTTATTCTTGACAAGCATGGTGTAGGTAGCTTCATTAAGCATTCGAAAGGTCCGAGGCTCCCTTTTTGTAGCCAAGTACAAAGATATGCTCCGAGAATAGCAAGGTTAGATGAAGAAGCCTTATGTTTTCTGTCTATGGCTGTGATCTGCATTCTTTGTATTTGTTTGTCGGTGGTTCCGTCTTCTGTACTTGATATTGCCCTGCCAGAGTTGAAATGTGCAACATGTGGCACATTCACTAGTGGGGGGAGGTTTTCCCTAAGTGTGTTTCATGCAGCCCAACCAGCCTAGATATAGTGTAACATGCAGAGGTACAGGGGGAATGGCAAGACTACGATTCTGCAGCCCAGCTTAACATTAGTTTGCACTGACACCCTGTGACTCTCCACCTCACAAGGTGTGTGCAGTGCTCTCGAAGGTGCAGTTGCAGTTGTGTGGCACCTGCAGTTAAAGAGGAGGGTGAATTTCTCCTCGGGAACCCTTCATTGTGCACCCTAAACACTGTTTCCACGATCAACAAAGATTGTCTCCCCGAACTTCAAACAAATGAACCTCCTTGCTAGAGGCTTCCACAATGTCACTCGGAATTTGTGAGATGGAGCATAAAATCTTGATGCTGAAATGAATTAAGCTAATTATTTTACTATAGCCTTTGGAGCTAGATATTAAATTAATACCAAGTGCTCAGTGGAAAGTGAGCATTGTGCTGCATATCTAATGGAGTTAAGTGAAGTGCAAGCCTACCACTGCAAGACCATCTACTCATTAGCAAATAGCTTTGTCAAATGCAATTCCAGAAACAATGTTTAAAAACCTTATGGTACACTTATCATCTGCTATCTTATGGTGTTACAAGAGCTCCTTAGTGTCCCCAATGTATCTCACTGTACAGCCTCTGATTGGTATCTTGTGGCCTTATTTGCTCGTACTGAACAATGCTGAGCTGAGCGACATTTATTTTGGATCACTCCAAACCTAATCTCGTTCAAGTGAAGTTTTTTTGGTTTTTTTGTTAGCAGTGTAATTTAAAAGTTTTTAAGCATTTATAGTGAGCGCTGTATATGTTGCGACGCTCGTAGGTGTGTACAACCTTACACCAAGGGGCTCCATTTTCTTTTGACGCAAGTATTGATTAAAAGCTTGAGAGTTTTAGTACCTTCATTACGCCTAGTACACACTAGCATTTTACCACGAGACAAAAATCTGGCTGTCGTCGGAATCTAGGATGCTTGTCATCCCTCGATGTGCACTGGACTTTGGGCAGATACCACTTGGCTAGGCCTGTTATGGTACTATTAATGTTTGGAGCTTTCTAGGATCAGAAATAAACCATAGAAGCGTTGGTACTTTTTTTTTTTTTTTTAGTAGGCTGTTAAAGTTATTTTTTTGCCAGGAAAGTTAGCCTTTTGGAAGGGCATGCTCTTGACTCTGGCCACATCTTACTCATTTTGGATGTCTGCAACTTTATTTATAGCTCAGAATAATTGAGTGGGTTTGGTCAAACTTTATTTGACGTGTTTTTCATTGTCAAGGTGTGCTAATTTTCATTGTGAGTGGAACGCTATCGCTTGCCCCCGATTTGCGAAACGAGAAAGTTTCACAGACTCTCAGAATTCTGGCTTTATGCCTTCTGGTACGATGAGCAGAATTTAGAAAACCTGCACTGTCGGACTCGCTTTTTGTTTCAGAACTCTTAAGAACTGTGTTCTAGACTGCAAAATTAAGATTCTCGTTTGGGCTCCTGCATCCTACACCGCCCCACAAGCATCCCATCCATGTCTCTGCATTGCTACGCTTTGTCCGTGAAGCGTTAGGGTGTGGGTAAATTTTGAACTAGAAGCCTGTAGCTAGAAAGCTTTCTCTTATTATTGCTAGCTTATTGAGCATTGACATTATTGAAGAACCGGCGACTATGGACCCTTGCCTCAGCCTTGTTCAAGGCCGAGGTGTCAACGCCTGCCTTTGGCCAAGTTTACGTTGCGGAAGGGGGCTCGGGGACGAACCTCGAAACCGGTTCGTTCCCGGGCAACGAGAGAGACAATCAGGCAGTTTCGAGCCTAGGTTTCTTCGTTATCGTTTTATCTTTTGCGGTTGGCAAGCGAGTGGAAGCCGACTCCATAATTGGGGCACGTTGCTAGGCGTGGTATGTGTGTTTCCCAGCTAAACTTTTCACCAGCTATGCATATGCTTTGTCAGGGCCGATAGAGTGCTAGAGGTACTTCCTGAATTAGTTAGGACCCATTTGTGCAGAGCCACGAAAGTTCCCTCCCGCTGTCGGTCGGAGAGGTGACTCAGTCTGTGCCATGTGCGGCTGCCTCGAGCAGTTGCCGAGGGAAAGCTTCGAACAAAGCCCTCTGTGGCAAAGTGATGTTGCAACCGGTTGCCAGTACACCAGCTTCACCGAGGCTTTGTTCCATTTCTCCAGGGGGCTGTGTGTGAGCAGGTACGGAGGAAAGGCGTCCTTGTAAATAGTTGTCTGAAGAAGCCAGTGTCTCGAGAGACTAATCTTCCACGTGCGTGTTGTCGTCGTCCTTGCTATGTGCGGCAGACTCGGAATCCTCATACTTAGTGTCCAACTCTGTGCGAGCCTACTCTTTTGTTTTCTGAATACCTATTACGAATATATATATGTATATATACCCAAACAAATGTAGCAGTTTGTTACCAAGCTCATTGCCTCTCATGGAAAGTATATTTTTTAGAGAAAAACGAGAAAAATGCAGCAGCCTGTTCCTTGTGCATTCAGATCAGGGTAGATAGATTGTGTTCCATGGTTCCTATTGTACTTTTTATCGATTTGTGAAAAGAGCTGTTGGAGGGACGCACGTGTTCAACGTTATCGCAGTTAAGGGATTCTGCAAGCCTGATTGTCCCAGGGGTAGGTCATGTGGCAGCTCGTTACAACAACTAGACAGAAATGACTGTCCTTTCGGTAGTAACATACCCGTAATGTGGTCGCGTACGCGAGAAAACCAATAGAACAGTCATCGGGCTTTAGGAGTCCCTAACATTGGTACGTATTCCCTCATTTGCTTTCGGGAAATTTGTATTTGTTGCACAGGAGGCACTCGATAGAGGTGCGTTTTATTCCGGTGTTTCTTTGTCAAGTGTTGTACCGTACCATCATGCTTTGTTTGTTTGGTTTCCTGCAGCCTCCAGAGATAACTTGAAGGACAAATTTTCTGCTTGGAAACTGCCGAGAAACAGTAAGAGCTATGTTTTCAACCGATGAAAGGACACCACTCCCCCTTTAATTTGGAGCAACCTTAAATTGCTGGTTTTCTCCCGGTAACGATAAGTACCTGTACTCTACTGCCTTCAGTCACTATCATTTATTTTTTTGCATCTAGTAATTATCTTTGTTAAAGAACATCACAAGTGGACTTGTACGAAGACCCATTACAGATAAAATACATGAATTGTACCAAAACCTTTTGAGAGACTTTTCCTTGCATGCACTTCTACATGTTCGTTGCAGCGATGCTTGCAGGTCAAGACTTCTATAATTCATTGAGACTTGTGCCGGTCTGTGTGTAATGAAAACAAGTCCCCTTGATCATTTTGGAAGAAACAAAGCAGTCGTTTGCCCCAGAGTTGTGCAGTACTGATTACAAATAATCAAATTATGCTTGTCATCGACTATGTTTTGAAGTTATTTTGTAATCATGGGAATACATCTATTGGGAAGTAATCAAAAGTGTTACTATTTTTCCCTTCCCTTCCTAATGGAATTCTTTGATTGTACAAGTTTCCTACCAAGAACTTGGAAGACGGTTTACCAAATTTGGTGGATTAAAAAGATAGGCAGTTTGTAATTATGGAACAGTACAACCATTTCTCAAGCCGGCAGAAAAATCTGTCATTTTGAAAACCTGAAGTAATCGGAAAGGCAACGGTTCCTTTTTCACGTAACGGCCAATTGTTTTTCTTTTGAAATAATCGAGTAGTCTCATTGAATACTTTTTAACCAAGAGTAATCATAATTGTCATCCATAGCTTTTTCCAAACGACATGTAAAGACTGCCTGTGCAACAATTGGGGCAACTAAAAGAACTGTGCTTGGAGCGTCGGCACTTTGTCCCCAGATTTTCTTGTGTGCTTAGTGCTTGGTACAGAACGGGTGTGATTGGCAATTATTACATTTCGAAAATACCACTTCCCGAGCTTCAAGTATGGCACCACGGAGCTCGGACGATGGCGTTTTGCTTTGTCACAGACTCTAACATTTCTGGGGGACGAAAAATTGCTTTGCTGCAATTTCAGATGAAGCTCAAAATAACTGACAACAATTTTTTTTTTTTTAGATGCTGGTTCAAAAAATGTGATACTATTTGGCAAAAAAATGTGATTTTGGATTTTGTGGTGTTCTTTGAATCTTCATATTTCCTGTACAAAAATAGTAAGTGCCGGTTCCCATCGCAAAATTAGTCAAATGACCATTTGAAGACCTGGCAACCCAGAACGGCATAAATTTTAGCCGTTTTTCTGCGCGTTGCTCTTCAAATTGCGATGTCGCTCGCCATCACATTTACGCCTACATGTAAACCTAGACATCTCCTTTCCTTCACAGCTTTCTGTAGCTTCAATTTCTTGCAGAAAATTAACAAAATATTCTATTTCTTGCTGCGGTCAAGTACCATTACACATCTTGGTAACATCTGAAAAAGAATTTTTTTTGTGTAATTTTGAGGCATCTTCGCAGTTTGCGCATGAGAATTTTTGTTTTAACTAATGTCCTATCACAACCGAATTTGGCATGCATAGACTTTAGAATGTGTAGAATGCAACTATCTCAGTTTGGTTAGAATGTATATTTTTTTATATTTATGAAAAAATTTGAGAAACTTTTGTTAGCCCCTTACAAACATAGATTTTTTATTAGAATTGTATTTAAGATAAAACGTGGCTCGCACATATTATTTTTGTTCATTGTACTCGGTGGCTTTAGAGGAGTGGACTAGTTTATTTTACTAGGCTCTTTTAAGCGCGTTGCCATGCCCCACGTGTCCGCAAGAACGATTTTTTTTCCGCATGTGCTTTGCATCCCAAACATTAAAAAAAAAGTTAGGGTATATTCAGATAAGGATGGTCATTGTGTCACGCCTAATTTTTTTTTCAATTAATGTTTTTTGTGATGTAGATGAATGTGTTGCCCAAAGGTAAAAACCTTAATACTTTTGCAAGAATTTTTGTATTTGTCAGAAAAAATCCACCTAAGGCGAGGTTGGAAATAGGACTTTCCCAATTTCACGTTGACGCAACTTTGAAGCCACCTTGGATAAAGAATACAAATGTCTATGTTATAACATTTTTGATGCTGAACGCACCCAAACTTTACTACTAGAAATAAACAGATTTATTTGATTTGATCATATATTAAAAATAAATAAAAAGGCAAACTTGGCTTTTTGAGCACCTCTTGTAATAAGGCAATTTTTGAAAATTTTTAGGACACTTTAAATTTAAACCTTCAACCTGAAATTTTTTTGTCCTGAGTATACCTTTCCTATAAAAAAAAAAATAGCACATGTTCAGAAAAAAAATAAAGCGTTCTACTACTGTAACTATATAATCATCCTCAATTTTCTTCTCACTTTATTCGGTGGATACTTCACAACTGGTAATTTCATATCTGCAAAAACATGTTGCATAATATTGTTTAAAATAAAAAAAAATAAATGTGTAACCAGGTTAATGTTGCAGTTGATTACCATTGGGCAGGGGGTTTCTTTCTTAAACCTACTCTTATTGATGGCAAGGCAGCATGACTCACTATAAAACATAGAGGTGTGTTATGTAGACACTTGCCGTCTATTGGGTATACTCCAGCTGTTGAAGCCAAACATCCCAAGGTGCCGGCGGATGCAATGAGACCCGAAGTTCTTGGTGCAGTCACCAAAGAGTCAAGAGGCCCAAAACGTTTTTTTTATATTTTGGACGACTCATTTGTAACGAAAACAGTTAACTTATAAAATTAACACATGAGCTCTTTTCTCAGTGGTGTGGCTGATACTGCCTATAAAAATTTAGCTTTGTGGCACATTCGGTCCTTAGTGTGTTCTTAGAATGGAAGAAGGACACATACTGAAAAACCGGCACTTGTTTATTCGGAATAAGTATGCTCTTGATGAAAAACAGTGAGTGTCGCCACTGAAGCTGCAAAAGATATAGTGAAGCACGTTCAGAGTTTTTCCAATCAGAGTCTGCACTCCCTGCCACGTACGAGGAATCCTCTTAACTAGATTTTTCATGTTTCCACATGTGAAGCGACTGGATTCCAGACACCTTCTTGGCTTTCTTCCATTCTTCTTTTTTTTTTCGAAATATTTTAAGCGTGCTATTCCTATTGTGAGACATTTTTCATTTTGCACCCCACCCCCAACCCCCCTTTCACTGACCCCTTTCACCAACCCCCCTTCCTAGTGACACCACTACGGCGAAGGAACCGTGTCCAGTGAAAACAAAAAAGTTTGGTCTTTACTTGATTGACTGCGCAAGGTTAGTCACGTCCTGTTGCAGGGATATGGAGATAGAATTTGCCAAATTTATAAAAACTACGACCTTCAAAAGCAAAATTTGTTTTTATTGGTTTATTCGCGTCCGGGTCATCGCAGTTACACTCAGTAAAAGATTTCCAAAGAAGCTTATAATTAGAGTCACAAACATTGAGGAATATAAAGCGCCGTTCACACATATGCAACCGAGTAAGACCGAGAGAGACCAGATTGGTTTTTAAGCCTCTTGCGACGTCTTAGGACCAGATACGCTGCAGCGGAGCTGGTCCTAAGACGTCGCAAGAGGCTAAAAAACCGTTCTGGTCTCTCTCGGTCTTACACTGTTGCATATGTGTGAATGGCGCTTTACGGTATTCCTTGATGCAGTTCATCCTTGAATGAGACCCGAGAAATTTGTGCTGCATGTTTTGATTATAAACACAAGGATCCTGGTATTTGCTATGTAACTTACTGAACATTTTGAGCCATCTCATGCTGGCGATTCTAATCTTCCTTATAAATCTGCCAAATGATAATAAAAAGCATGTGTAATCTCAATTTCAACAAAGCAGTTCCATTAAACTGCATTAAATTTTCGTAACACAAGTGGAAGAAACCAAATGCAAACGTTTGTAATATTCTAGATGTAGCACTTTACACAACAACTGTTGCAATTGGCACGATATTGCAAAAAGAACCTGGCAAAGGAGGTTTTGAGGGAGTACAGCCCCAAAAACAAACCGAGAAAAAGGAGTTAGCAAAAGGAGCCATTACAGTTGAATGTCTCCCAAAAACCGTTAATTAAAGCTCATCTGGACACACTTTTTCTAGCATTTAACTAGGAGTGTACACAGTTGGTAGAGAGCTGCAACAAATGGCTGTGAAGACTGTTAGAAAAATTCACCACATCTTTTTTCAGAAAAACTTGACCTGAAGATAACTTCACCCCAACTGTAAATCATCACTAAAAGTTACAAGGTTATACCCCGTTTCACACTTCAATGTACCGCAAAAGATCCTACGAGCCATGTTTGCCAATCCAGTGCTCCACGTGACCTCGCGCGGCATATGTCTCAACCCCAATTGGAGAGTCGCTTAACATTCCCTGGAGCTATGGGTTGGCTCCGATTGCTTGTAGACATTATGGTGCATCGTAGGGTTAAACAGAGTGTAGTGCTTGTCAACCATCATTTAAAGGTATTGGGCAAGTGCTTGTCTTTTAGTAAGTCAATTCTAAAACAACCAGATAGCAGCAGGCTGAATGATACTCTTAGCCATGCATCATGTTCTAGTGCTTGGACAGACTAAGCGGTCGCTATATGTGCCTCAGTTAAATAAAACTTCCCTTCATAAATACCGAACATTCCCTGATTTTATTGCAGTGAGGTTTAATAAGTATGAAAAATGACTATCCAGACACAAAAACAAAAAGCAACTGCTTTTGCTTTTTAGATCAGATCTTTGTACCCCACCTGCTGTCTCGAAGCGAATCTCAAAGGTGATATGACAAATGTTCAGGCTCTACAACAGGGGCAACACAGCACTCAAACCTATGTCAAGGTGTGTAGCACCCAATAAATATGCAGAGTATAAAAATGTGCATAGGATTTTAGATGAACTCTGTGAAGCCAAAGGAAAGCTGAAGGGGTTTTTAAATTCTGAAAATTTGAATGCAGGCACCTCAAAAATTATGTGTGTAAAATTTGCTTTCCAATTTTTAGTAGGAGCATCGTAATCGCCATTCAAATTTTAAGTATAGTTCTGCCCATTGCTGCATGCGGAGCGCAGGAGAGCATGAGATTAAAAACTGGGGAAAGTGACGTCATCGGTGGGGTCAGATGCTCGCCACTAAGCTGGCTCACCGCTCGGAGAAGCGAACAATGACGTTACGACTCCTCGGACAACAGATGGCAGAGAGGCTCTCCCCACACTCGGTGTCAATTGCTGCATGTTTTCCCTAAATAAAGCGATTTACGTCCAATAGACCCTTTTCAAAAGTCACTCACCTTGTGACAGTCCCAAAAACTCCAGTATTGCCGCTCTAATGGTGGTGATAGGAGATCATGCTGGGCTAAATCAAGCACCCTTGATTTCGTGAAAGGCTTTTGAAGACATTGACTTTTTCTGGTGTGGAGAAGCTGTGTAGTGCCGCCATTAGAGTGTCGGGTTTGGCTCAGCGCAGGGTGGGTATGCTGACTTTCGGAAAGGGTTTATTCTGTCCGGTTTAAGCGCGATAATCGAATTTATGAGATAAAAAGCTATGTGGAGAGAGTCGTCTGCTTCTAGCGCGGGAGTTGCTGCAACATCAGAATTATACCGATCTTTGATTGGCTTCGATTGAAAGGGTAGTGAGTAGACCTGAATGCTAGATGCCCCGAGGTCTACCCACTATTTTGTTTTCAATAAGCCAATAAAAGCTCGGCGTTCTGACTTCCTCGCAACTCCTGCAAACGAAGCAGACAAACTTGCGCTCTGCATAAAATTACACTCCTAGCTCAGTTTCCCTGAAAAGTGCTTCAGCTTTCCTTTAAAGGGATACTACAACGAAATTTGGGCGCTTATTTTTTGGTCTACTGTTCAAAGAAGCAGTATCACATCAGACACACCAATATCCTGTTAACAAAGACACGAAAATGAATTTTAAACCGAATTAAACGATTAGCAAAGAGCATCTGGTGGTTGTCGCTATGAACCTTGTCAGATAGTGACGACGTTTGTCTCGCCTCCGGCCACGACGAGAGAAGAGGGGAAGGAGGAACTCCCCCCTTCCCGAGAATGCCTTTTGTGTGACCCACAAGTCGCTTTTGTCCCCTCTACAAGATTACAGAAGATTAACCCGCCACTCAAAATTCGTACAAAACAGCCGCTTCAGTGGCTGGAACAACTAGGCAATCCTCTCGACGTCAGCCTCGCCGTAGCTTTAATGTCCCGAGACGAGCTACGTCATGATTGCGTTGGATGTCACGTGGTCTCTGCTGGCTGTTCTCCGAGCGCTTGCCAAAGTGGGCCGTTTATAACGAAAAATACAGCCACCAAGCTCAAAATACAAACGTGCGATTGCCATTTACGGATATTGCAGATCATATTCAATCTATTTTTGAACACGACGGGTATATTTCAAATTTCGTTGAAGGATCCCTTTAAGAGAAGTACATAAAACTAGATAGGAGCCAACATCTGACAGAGTAGGTTCTCAACTGGATGGAGGGGTATGATTCGGCAATTCTTGTCTTTAGCTGATAGTGCAGTCGAGACTGGTGTTGGGCAGGTCTTCCACATTCTGCGCCACAGCTTTGATCAAGTAGGTCATTGTTCCATAGCAGCCACTCGGAGCAGAGTCGTAGAAGTGCTCGCATATGTTGGCTACCTTATTGCAGTTGGTCTTGCTCGGGGTGTTGCCATCATTGGCACAGCACAGCGTAGAATCACCTTTGCAGCGTTTCTGTAACACGAGGACAAGAAGGCCCGTCAAACACTGGTTCCCACTCTAGCAGATAGGCTAGAAACCACTTAGACAAGAAATTTATTCACTATTCAGTAAATAGTGACCTTTCGACCATACTAAAATGTTGAGGTGGGCTAGTCGGATTAGCATAATGAAAGAAACGGTGCAAAGGACACGCACGAAAACGGGACAGGTTCTTTCGACCAATTTTGCGAGCACTTCCGTCATAAATTTTCGTTCCGTGTGACCTGTGTTGCTCGTGAGTTGCAAAACCTCCAATTGATATCACCCAAATACAGTGTGCTTTTTTAGCTGCACCCATTTTAATTAAAGATAAGATTTGCATTAGGACACTCACCAAATTTTCGGATAAGTTCACCCGTGGCGACCACTAGAAACAAGGTTGTTTGTGTAATTAGGCTGCTAATTTACGAAGATGTTTCGGAAATTTTTATTTTCGAAATTGATGTCCAACCTCCAGGCTGTATGCTCCAACTGCAAGCATTTGGGCGCTACCGGCCAAATTATTTGAGTTCCGCAAGCTTCCTCAAACCGGAACCAATTTAGAAAAGAGTGACAATGACGCCACTCGCAGTAACGTCACCTGTGATGTAGGCACCCCCCCACTGGCACTATCGCGGTGTTTATCTTTTTATACTTTTTTGCTTTCGGTGTTGTAAAATCTTGCCATTGGCTGTCGGCGTGTCAGTTAGTCCTTTTCCCGCAGAGAGCGCGCTGCGACCCTTGCCTTTTATCGATACGATAAAAGTTGTTCTGCAAAAGTGTGCAAATAGCGTTATGGATCAATGAACGCTGCGTCATCTGCAGCTATTGTCGTAGATGATTCAGCACAGTTGGTGCCTACAGTAGACGAAAAAAAAAAAGATACGACGAAGGATGAACATATTGCGATAGTGGGGTGCCCGCATCACAGGCTACGTTGTTATTGTGTCGCTACGTGATGGCAGAAATAGAGACGTCACTGTCGCTCTTTTTTAAATTTGTTTCAGTTTGAGGAAGCTTGAGGAACTAAAATAATTTGGCCGGTAGCGCCCAAAGGCTTGCATGTCTATTACAGCTGGCAGTTGGAGCACACAGCCTGGAGGTTGGACATCAATTTCGGGAATGCAATATGCCCTTTAAAGTCATTCATTAAATGTTAACTAAAATATCTCGGTTAATTAGCGACCTAAATTGCACAAACAACCTTCTCTCTAGTGGTCACCAAGTGGGGTAAGCTAATACAAAAATTAAGTGTCCTGACGCAACTTTTATTTATTTAGAAATATGGTGCAGCCAAAAAGAATCATCCCAAATAGCTGGGATGATTCTGAAGCTTACTTTTGAAAAGATAGGATATTTTCACAATTTTGCAGTGCATTGACCCAAGAATGAATTTCTCCCAGTCGAAGGGTAGAACATCGGAAAGCTCTTCATCAAAATATAGGCCATGGCTGTTGTTAGATCTCGAAAACGTAAAGATCTCGGAAACAAAAATTTTGATTGTGCTATTCAGTGGCACAAGTTCCAAAGGGCCCGAGATACTCAAACCAAGATGCACAAGTGTGACAGAATTTCAGCCCTGAAGGATGTCTGTCCCCGCTGCGGGAGTTTTTGGTGAGTAATTGCGAGTAGATCTAGCGGCAGTGCGATGTCCCTCGGTCCTGTGGTCCAAGCAGAGAGTGTGACAGTGCGAAGGGTGTGTGACTTTTCGGTTGCAAAGCCTCCGTCACTTTTTGTTTTCTAGCTTCAATGTGGCAAACTCTGGTTCACCAACAGTTGCCACTGAATAGCGCGGAGCAGAGTTCAGTTGTCTGAAATCAAACTTCCATAGCATACTTTTACGATGAGCTATGAATATCTTAATTCGATAAAACCAGCTAAAGACAGTTAACTAATCAGTTTTAGGTAACTGGGCCGCTAATTACCACTTTACGCTCGTACCCTGACATACGCCGTGGCCAGTAAAATTATTTTTAACGACTATTTTCATTATTTCGACTTCCCTTTTTTTTTTTCTGAATACTATAGATTAAAAACAAACATCCTGCACACTCGCTGACCGGCTTTTCTGACTGATGGGAAAACAGGCTAGAACAGTCCAAAAAATGCGCAGATTACAAAAACTGGCTTAAAACGTCGCCCATGAGTTGCCTGCCTGCCTTGTGCTCCGTTTGCATCCAAAGACATTTGCATAAATATGAGCCGTTGTCGTGCTCTCATCGTACAGATCAAACAGCAATGATGGGCTTTTATAACGTCCCCTGTCGATGGCTGCAGGCGGTTGATTTGGTCGTCTTTCAAAGTTAATCACTTGCTGCAGGCTGAGCGAGCACTTGCCACACAATTTCGTCATCAGTCAGTCCTGCGCACACTTCAAGCTCGTCTTCAACAGTGGCAAACTTGCAGTGAGAGCTTTCGAAGGCAGACAATATCTTCTACTTGTTCTTCAAGTAGTACGACAGCTTTTGCTTCAACGACTTGAATTTCTTCACTGTGTCAGCTTGCGTTCGTCCGCTCTCGATCAACTTGATTATAGCAGCTGTCTTCTCCAGAGTCATTGCAGAATACTGTCCGTGCTTCTTGACATTTTGGTACCATGGTGACAAAATGCTGTATGAGGGGGAGGGGGGAGAGGAGGTCCCAGCAAAATCGAAGATTTCGGGGGGGGGGGGGGGGGGGGGCCCGGGCCCCATGGGCCGCCCCCTGGCTACGTGCTTGATGGTGACCATCCATATTTCGCTGAAGAGGAATTGTCCGGAAATTGAAAACCACAGCACACATGACTAGTGGTGAAGAAAGGGAGTGATGCAATTTCAAGACAGATGAAACGCGCAGAACCACCCAAACTACGTGGAAAAGTGAGAAAACGGACAACGATAATGCGTAGCATCAAAAATATTTAAAAAAAAATATAGCAGTTTGGCTTAGCAACGTTGGGATTGGCTGTCAAGCCCATCCAAGTCAAAATATAATTCAAAATGGCAACTCTCTTCTGGCTATCTTCACAACAGTCACAATCATTCACGGCCCTTTCTCCGCTCTATAAAGTCCAAAAAACCTAACTTTCGGGCTTAGACCATTTGCAAAATTGGTCATCAATCTGTACTACTATTTTTACCGGATATGTTCCTTGATTCGGCCCAAAATAGCAAACAAGTCCAAATTTTTGGTATCCAAGAAATTGGTCAGCGACATATTAAAAGGAAACATTTCATAGCATTATTTAAGCTGAAAGGGTTTTAACTGTAGTTCTAATGCCAACTATTAACTTAATATGTTAATTTTAGCCTCTGCGTTAGCCTAAGTGCAAATAAAGATTTACAATTGTCCGAGACATTTTTAAAAACGCCGCAAGATTGAGAAAGCGTGCAGGTTACCTGATCCTCCAGAAACATCTTGTAGGCAGAGCGGACGAGCTCGTCCACATTGATAACTTTGTTGATAAACGTGACAACATTGTGTTCTGCAAGAAGTGTTAGAACCATCATGGCTTCGACATTTAGCTGTCGAAACTCGGGTTGGGGTATACTGTTGAGCACATGCTCAACTTCCAGGGCAAATTTGAGTTCTCCGGAAGTCATCTGTAAAAGGAATGCACCAGTGAGCTGCATCGGAACACGTAAGTAGTACAAGATACTTACCTCTCGCGTGAGATGCTGTGAAAGTACTTTGCCTTCGATGGACAGTCCCACACACTGAAAAAGAAAATGGGCGTGAGTTAGCAAAGGAAAAGGTTGGGGTGCTTCTTCCTTTTTTTAAGTAGTATACTTGGAATTTCAGCATTTTTGATTGGTCCCTTACCCTTTCAAGCAGCTTCCAGACTTTGGGGTAGAACCCCATGGGGACCCTATTCAGCGCTCCGTCCAACCTACGCCTTCGTATCCACTGTCCTTGACGGTCAAAAGAGTCGTCCGACTTCTTTGTAGACGTGATGTCACGCCTCATTGTGTGCTGCTGCGCTTGCTATGGAATTATGCAAAAATGGAGAAATGCTTTTTGGAATTTTCCGGCAAGAGGCAAAGGTCAAAGACATGCTTTGACTATGCCGCAGGCACATACATACCTTGCTCATTGCACTGCCTTGAATTGCAACACCTTCACAAGCTGGAAAGAGTAGGGCATTTTGGAGCACAAGTTACAGTAAGGAGCTTTCACCGTCTTGGAACGCATGGACCACAAGGAGCACTGCACTCACTGTGACAGATCACAAATTCTTTTCCACTGAGTATTTGTCGTAAAAGCATCTTCATCTCGTAGGGACGCATGTTGAGAAGATATTCGGACGCTTCGTTTGCTGAAACGACAAACAATCTCGGAAGGTCGCTCCATTGGACCCTAGTCATTTACTACTTCACAGTGCTTAACACAAACTTATCATAACCTCAGCCTTTGTGTCTCACCTGAACACTTGATGGAGCGACTAAGTTCAGAGACCATCACTTGGATGATGAGGCCAACGCGGAGTCTCAGCATCTCTTGAAAGAGCTCTGGTTCTGTTCGGATGAACATTGACAAGTACACAAGCAGTTCCTGAAAAAGCAAATTTGTCGTATGTTAGGTCTTATTTGACTGCTTGTGATAATACACTGAAAAATATATATAAGAGATGCAAAAGAAAAATTTAAAATGATACCGATAGTTCCAAGTATAGTCTCAAATGCCAACTGCTTGCATTTCACTCCACAAAAATGATACAAGGCTTTAAAACTACTCCATGGGTCTATAATTCATGTGCAGTTGATAATGAGCTGATCATTTTGAATTATTCATGCTGTGTAATTAAAATTTAACAAACTGTCAATTTTCTACACAGGCAACATCACACACATCAATGAATGGTACAAGGGCACTTATGGTTTCATGCCATATTAGGAGTCCAAAAGATCTTCAAACCAAACCACTATAAAAAAAACTGAATTCCAACATAAATGATCAGACAATATTGGCAATAAATTGGATCCACAAACATGTGAACAGCACTAGTTCCTGGTGCATATCGGGAACATTAATATAAAAATACCTATGCTTAGAAAAATATTTGAAAAGAGCCTTAGCCATGCAGCGAGTATCACAAATTTTCAATGCGTGCCATGCTGGCTTACTTGGGTCAGCATAACTGCACTCTTATCCCCTCCATAGGTTTTATAAATGATAATGCGCAGTTGCTTAGCAGGCTGGGGTCTGCAAGTACAAAATATCAACATTTTCATCACTGCACATCAAGATGTAATTTCAACAGCCAAACACTTCACCTGCCAACTTGGAATTAGGCCTAAACTGTTTTCGCAGAAAGATGGGGCACATAAAAAAAAAAGTAGCTGGTATCACGTGTCATGCACAGCAGGTGATAATCCTTTAAATATTTATTTTGACAACTACTAACGAGTTTAGATTTATAGCATAGTGTCTGTGTTAAGTGGATTTAGCAGCTCGAATCATGGTGGTGCTTAAAAATGTTAAAATATGCCACAAAGGTATCCCAGTGCCAAATGCAAAAGGGTCATTCCACCTCAAATGTCCCAGATGTGCTCGACCACTTCCGATTCTTAAAAACAAATTAATGGTTTGTTTACCCCAAGGTCCTTAAACTGTTCCTAAAATATTTTCGCCGAAAAATTTCTTTTTTATGCCATGAGCCTGGTTTGAACTTTTAAAGGGGGCGTAAAACTAGGCATCGATCAATAATTGATTAAAAACCAATTTTTCTTTGAAACGCTTCACAATTTGTTTTATGAAATTCAAACAGCTTTTAGGTTGCTATGTTGTGATGATTATGCAAATTGTACTGTTAATTTTTTTTTTTAATTCAACAAATTTCACAAAACCTAGCACATTTCTTAATTTTGTATTTTATTATTGCTTTGCACAAAACTGTTTGAAACTGTACAACAAAACTCTTCACAGACAAAAAAAATTCTAAAGTAGTAAAAAAAAAAAAGTCTGCCTAAACCTCTTAGCTGCCTAAACCTGTTTAGGCAGCTAAAAAGCTGCCTAAACAGGTTTTTGTTTGGCAGCTGTTTGTTTGTTTGTGGTGCGGGAAAAAACTTTCAAGTGGAAGGAAAAGAGAACAGAGGAGAATGCGTGGATTTTTAGACTATCTGAAGTGGGTAGATTATGTTTGGGCCTTAAAGGGCAGTGTCAGGAACCGCTATAGTGCTCCTTTAATAGAAGAGATGTCAAAGTGTAAATATCCAAGAGTAGAACCCCACAACAAAAGGTTGTCGTATATGTTGGCAGTACATGAAGATGGAGCACTCACCTTGTGATAGTATATTCATTCATGGGAGGCATGCCTACTGTCACTTGTTTCTGCCTCACCAGAAGATCTGTCACAGCCTGGCAATTAAACAAAATTCCATAATAAGCACGGTTGAGTGCAAATAGTTTAGTTTTCTAATAATAAGGAATGTGAGAAAATGGAATGGCCAAAACCCAAGTGCCTTAAAATGCATTATCCTGCGCAATCTAAAACTGTAGCTGCATTTTTAATAAAATAATGACAATGAAATGCCCGGGATTTCAAACGGCGAGCAGGTGAAAAACAGTTATGTTCGTAGCAGACTCAAACTCTTTCAAGACATTCTATATTTTCTTTCTCAAAGCCTAGGTGTGCTACCTGTGTCCCAGCTTTGTCTACTGGGTGCTCAACCAAAAACAAAATGGATCATGGTTCTACTCGGTCACTTCCAACACTAACTATGATGTGCCTGCTTAATTTTAAAGAAAAGCAAGGTTGCAGGAAGATTATCCTCAACGTCGCAACCATTGCAGCAATTTCTGAGCTCGGATTCCCCAGTGGTGCAAGAGCAAATTAAAGTGAGGTCCCATGTCTCTATGAATAACACTATGGGTTCCGACCGAGCACACATCGTCTTGCCATTCAATGACCCAGTGATTTCGTTCCTGTCAAGGCAGATATGCTACACTTTGCAATTTCACAAAGTAAAATTGACCACCGTAACACTTGTTTTGAGGATTGAAACTAGCTGGGTTAAAACACCAATTTTTCAGGTTCACCATGCAGTGGTTTAGATGTCAGAGACGCACCATATTTGACGAAGAACGTGGCCTTACCTTTGCCAGATCTTCTACCTTCTTGCCCAGCAGACCTGCAACGTGCCTGACGAGACCCCACTTGCGTTCCTTGTACGCCTGCGTGGCGAAAGTTGCAGACACTTGGAGAACTTGGTCCGGCTGATGTGCAAGCCTCTTACCTTTTCGTAGAGCTCCTTCAGGAGATGCCTCACCGTAATCACTTGACCACCGTCACCCAACTCTGTGTCCCACTTCAGGCCCCTGGAGTAGATCCATTGACAGTTTATTTTCCGACCTGGTCGTAAGTACAGCCAGCTCAAAGAGATACGAACAATTGAATTACTGCAAATGGCTCACATCCTGTAGCGACCTAAGTTTTGCAAATCTAAGACGACTTCCAAACTCCAATGGTGCAAATGAATAAATCTACTGTGCAGGGCATTCATCTGATAAATCAAAGTTTTGTTCCTGCAAACTGCTCCGTAACGCAATGTAAACAAACTTTTCGAAGACATTAAGCCACATTGTTATACTTTGTTTACAGCATTTGCAAAGGCAGATAATCAAAACATTAAAAGGACACTGAAGTGAATTTTAACCTTGTCTTTTTATGGCGAAAACTCAATCTGAGTGCCCTAGAAAATCAAAAATTCTAATCGGAGTTCTGCATTTTCGGTAAACTCCAATAAACTTTGATTATTAACCCCTGTTCCGTTTTTTTTTATCAAAATAGAGCCGTCCTCAAAAAATGAAAACCCAGGTTTTGCTGGAAAACAAATCTTTCTTAACTGTGGCTTTATTATGTGTTGACTCTGACACGGCCCGTTCTGAACTGTCTGCAAGGTCGCTTCTTTCTTCAGAACCACACACCTCATCTCTTTTCCTTCTGTGTTATCAGTACCGGGATGTTCTCCAAGCGTTTGGGTCACTACACACGTTCCCTGGATGTTGGGGAATACCATTGTATTCCATCCTATTGCGTAACATGAACCTGACAAACCCCGATGTTTCGCTGACACCTAAAATTTTGATTGCAGGGTAAAAAAATAAACCCCGAAAAATCGCCCCTGAATTTAAAGAAAAATGAAGCCCAAAAACGAGGAACCCTCTTTATAATCGTGCATGGCTTTTTTCTCTACACCCTTTTTCTGAAGTACTGTCTCGAAAAAAAAAGGGTGTGTCGCTATGTTTGCGTTTTAGTTGAGTAAAAGGCCACGCACGATCATAATTTTGTGTTTTCCCAAGATGCTGAGGATATGTAGATTAAGTCTGCACTATAAATAGAATAACCAGACGTCCCTTTTTTTTTTTTTTTTTTTTTCGGGATTGTTTTATTTTAGAGGTTCATTTTTGCCATCCCGTCATTTCGTCTCAATAAAGTCTTGTGTCCCATTCTCCCGCAAATGTGCATAGTTTCCGTTGCGCACATGATTCTATAAAAATTAACGCACTATGAAAATGTTATCTCCGTGCCCTTTCCGAGATTGCATTTGAAAATACATTTCAATTGTACAGACATGCGGACAAGATACTTTTTCTATATTATCAAATGTAACATGCTTTGGGTGGCAACATTTCCCCATCGTGTGAAAGTGGGGAAGAAAGGCACTGGTGTTCTTGGCAAACAACTGAAAAAAAATGTGAGTTTATACGTTGGACTGAATACTGGCAGAACTCTACTTTCTGCATTGCTCTGACCTTCCCTCCCCCCTTCTTCCCTACTGTCTAAGGTGGAAAGAAAGGCATTGGTGTTCTCGGCAAAAAAAACTCAAGAAAAATGTGGGTCTATACATTGAACTGAATAGTAGCAGCAGAGCTCTTCTTTCTGCCTCACTCTCCTCCCCACCCCCATCCCATCCCCGTTTCTATTCCAAAGAATATGGTCACCTTTCTTTTTTTTTTTTGCGCGCGAGCAAAAATTTAAACATTCTTGGAACACATTTTTAACTGGCGTGTTTATCGCGTACCCCCAAAAAAGTAGTCCCTCGATTTCTGACCGACGACGTCACGAAAATGTCTCATCGTCGCCGGCCGTGGTCCTGGCAGTGCCGCAGCAGCTTTGGCGTTCGGGACACCGTGACAACAGCGATGCTCGCGTTCGCTCATACTCTTATCGGGACTTCTAGGGCCAACTGCCAGGACGGCTTGACACTCCGACTTCCGCAACGTAGCCTTTTGCCACTTCAGGGCCACTTTGGATGTACAGAGGGGACACGACGCCAAGCGCACCAGTTGGGGACATCTCCTGGGCACTCCGCCCAAAGCAACCCACTTGTTGAGCACGAGGCAGTGGAGGATGTCCCCGTGCTCTTCGAGGGAGTCGCTCTCCTCGAGCAGGTCCACCAGCTCCTTCTCCGAGATGTTTCCCAGCTGGAGGTCCGAGAGGCCCAGGCTGCTCTTGCCCGGCACATCCACCACCTCGCACAGCTCTTCCTCGTCGCTGTCGTAGGCTGGGGACGGGCTGTCTCCGTACCCTTGGCTCTGGCCCTCTTGCAACGAGGGCAGCGTGTCCTTTGGGAGGGCCGGCTGCTCTGTGGTCGGGGGAAGGATGGGGCCATCATACTCCGCTTCTAAAATGTTGCTCGAGAGTGCACAGAAAAAAACTTGCAAGCCTCCTCTATGAATTGGAGCGTGCTGGTAAGTTACCATCACACTCCAGGAAAATCCATCGATGGATCCTTAGGGAATGTATTAGCATGACCCTTGGGAAACACAACGCACATCCTCCTTCAGGGAAACGCTAATGCTGACCCCTTCACTTTTCTGTTTTGGCTTTTTCTTTTCGTTCCTCTATTTTTTGCTGCCTGTTTTTGGCATCGTTACAGGGTCAGTGTTAGTGCTTCCCAAAGGGGGACATGTGTGGTGTTTCCCAAGAACCGTGCTAACACATTCCTGAAGAATCCACTAATGGATCTTCCTTTAATTTTTTTTGCGGCCTGCTTGGACCAGTGCCAGTACTTCGCTCACACTCCATTTTGCAGCACAAACCAAGGCATACGCACTCCGCACACCTGCAAGTTCAGACTCGCCCCAGCATCCGCACGTGCATTGCCTTGCACCCTGTGACATCGCCTCCCTCTCGCCTTTGACCATCACTACTCTCCTCTCTATGCAGTAACGTGAGTCGCCAGTAATAATGAGACGAAAATTCATGCATTTCCCCAGTTGGTCCCCGGAAATGTTCTCTATACAGCGGGATATTTGTTTTAACCAGGTAAGTGTTTTTTGTTCCGAGTTCTTTACTGTTTATTGTTTTCAATTTTGTGCATCGCTGCTCTGTGCAATTTGTTCACTTTCAAGCGTCCTTCCTACTGTAATGCCTACTGAATGATGACCTGAACACAAGATGTCAACAAAAGAATCATGCCGCTTAGGTTAAGCTATCTTTATGAGAGATGCTTTATTACAAACAATGCTCAGATGGTAGCAGTTCCCAGAAATTGGAAAGGCAAAGTCAGCACCAACCAAAAGAGAAGAAGTTGTCGGCGTAAATCGAGCGCGAGCGTCTCACGACACCCGAGACACCGAGTTTCCTGTGGCTGGTGCCGTGGACAGCCGGGCTCTTGGGGCAGATGGACTGCCTCCTCAGAAAGATGGAATCTCTTCGCAGGTCCTTCCTGCTGAATTCCTTGTTCAGGTAATCTCTCAATTCCGCAGGTACACCTACAATCAAGCAGTCACAGTCAAACAGCTGTGCTCAATGTCTGAAACAATGAAAGTGAGACAAAGTTGATTTTAATTTGATTGATTAGATTGCTGTCCAACCACTATGCTGGTGTGTGAAGATATTCCAGTTTTACTTCTTCAATGTGAGGACCAATTGAGCTTGTAATGCGAGACAGATACGTACTGCTATTGAAAAATATTGAACTCGGTTTAACTCGGTCCTAATTAAGCACTACCATAAATTTCACAAATCTGTCTGATGATTGGAATTAAATCACAGTTGAATCTGATGTGTGCATTGATATGAATGAAAACTTCTGAACATAAATGGGAGCGGAAATATTCTTATGTCACTTATTTTCCGAGTTTTTGCAGTGTTAACTAGAACTTGCTCGTTAATTATTAAATAAATTCTCTAGATCATTTACTCACACATTGACATGTCCAAAAAAACTTTCCAACCCCAATAATTGGTCTTATGCCACAGTAGCTACTGCAAAAAACACTGGGCTTTCATCAAAAGAGATCTTCAGGGCTCACCAGAATGTTGTCTATGTTACAGCCACTTGCAAATATTCTCTTGTATTCTTTTTACTGGGTTCACATATCTCACTCTGTGAATGCAACTATACTAACACAGTTGGCAATAGATTTCTTTCCAGTGTCTTATCTTTGACAATACCTGTGTATGTGGTTAGGTTTTGGCAGTGATATACTACTAGCTATACAGATCTGGAATCTTCAAACTCTAAAAGCAAGACTCAAGAACAAACATAAGAAGTAAATGTCTGCTCACGTTCTGGATGACCTTCCTCAATGTTTCCAATGAAGCTCAAGCTAGCAACGGAGGAGGTACTGACAAACTCATCCAAAGTCCCAAGTAATATCCTGTGGAGAAGCGTGTTCATTATTGTCTAGGATTGCAAAACACTTCAAAATCAACAGAAGCAGGATAGTACCGTATTAACTTGAGTAATAGCTGCACTATTTATGAACAAGGCCCTTGCGTCTGCTTTCCCGCGAAGCACATATATAACCAATCATCGCGTTGTGCATAAATTACATAGCGAATAACTAGACCGAGAACACGATTCTCCAAACAAATGCAATCTTCACAGGTGATATCTTCGCGCGAAGGCATTATCTCTGTCCTGTAAACCGCTGGAATCATGCTGTCGATTCCGGTAATTGGCGATTCGCGTGCTTCGCAGAAAAGCGAACCCTCAGGGTTTCTTCATAAACAGTCCGGCTATTACTCGAGTAAATTAAAGCCCCAGCTTAAAAGTATATGATCAGGAAACAGAAAAATTTGACTGGAGTGTTTGATGAAGATTGGAAACGGACAAAGTTCTGTCCCCGCACGTACCTCGTTCCTGTTGTATACCCGCTCTTTAGCTTCTTTATGGTGGCAATAATTTCTCCCGGAATTTTCCCATTCTCTGAAAAGAACAAAAACTTTAAGTGCTCTAAAAACATTCTTTGAAAAAAAAATACAAGGTTCGTGGAGGGCAACCCATGTCAAAACGCTCTTTGTTGCAGAGGCTGAAATTTACATTGGTATGTACGGTTATCAGTGCATTTTTTTATATCAACCTGATTTCAATCCGAATCTGCCAGCACTCTTGCAGTAGCACACTTGGGGCATCATGTCACAACCTTGAACGATTCAGTAGTGTTGTGACTGTTGTGCCATTTGTGCCGGACTGTGCCAAAGTACCCATCCTGTTACATTCTGCTACACTTCACTAAAATGTAAGGAATTACGCTGCAAGAAAAGTTCATTTCTTTTCTCAGTATTGTGCCTTGCTGCACTGCCAGATCATTACACAATGCTTGTGCAAATTTTTGCAATTTTCAACCATAAATATAAATAATGCACAATTCAATTCGACCTTCATATTGAATATGGAGCGTACTCTGCTTTTGCAATATTTCTGATTATTTGAAGTCTCTGAACAAATTAAGTAGCCCTGTTAAGAGCGTTTCTCACAAGACACTGGTGCACTGCGGAGAAGCACCACTAGCAGAGTAAACAGCATGATCCTGTGTATTTTGCTTCACTGCATCACACCCACTTGCTTACGAGAAGCATTCTTTCAGAGTGGGTTGGCGTTGGTATTTTAAAAAGATGGATCTTCATGAATGTTAATGTGACAAGTCTACCTTGCAGTAAAAGATTCAAATTTTCCACAACAGATGTTGTGGAAAAAAATATATATTTTAGCACAAGATGGGGAGGGTCTTGAAAGCCTCCTGCATCATGGCTTGTGATATATTGTGTTCAGATTCGGGATTTAAAGAGAAATATTTGGGTAAACAAAAGGGTTTATTCACCCTTTCTATGAAAATAGCTGAGCATCCATCTAAGTTTAAGTTTCATGCAAGATTCTTTGTTTATTTCGCACACCTATGTTAGCCTTAGACTTTTTTTTAAGGCACGGTCAACAAATAAATACCTAGTTTGAATAAAACAATTAGGTTTGGCAGAGAATGAATGGATAGCTCTTGAAAGCCTTACTGGGTTTTTCTTTATAACCGCTAAATTTAGTGGGGAAACTGGATTGGTGTCGAGGTTGTATGACATTGATTTTCCGACTAAATTTAGTGGGAAAATATGTCACATGACCTTTACAAAAATTCAGTTGCCCCGCTAGATTTAGCAGAAGATTTGATGTCATTTCCCCCGCTAAATTTAGCTAGTAAAATAAATGGCCAGAAACATACCTCAAGTGGCCTGAAGATTCTAAGAAAGCTAATTGCTTTTAAACCTATAGTCCGTTGCAACCTAAGAACAAAGGGCGAGGGTAAGACGGGCCGGGGAGGAGGAAGCAGACGGAACGCTGGAGAAGAGAAGGGGAAACCTCCTTCTTTCTTTAGCATTCCGTCTGCTTCCTCCTCCCCAGCCCGTCTTACCCTCGCCCTTCGTTCTTAGGTTGCAACGGACTATAGGTCTGATCCCTACTCCTTCGAAGAAGTTTCAGAAATAAATTTATTAATGGCTATGGCTGCTAAAGATGCATAAACTGCTGAGTTGTGGCCTACATTTTACGTACTATAGCACAAATATTGGGGAAATTAAGTCACTTATTCCTGGCAAATCGGGAAAATACAAGTGGCTCCTCACGTAATAAGTCCTGAGAAACGGGCAGAATCACAGTTGGCCTCCCCAGCATGCGCCACGCAGACTTCAGGTAGGCCACCTCCGTCTTAAAAGTGTCAACCAGCAGGTCAGTGTCTGAAGCCAGGTAAAACCGGTGCTGGTCTGCAAACTGTACATCCCCATGAATGGCAACATTAGAGCATAAAGGCTGGTTCACACGCTTGCAACGGCTTACGACCAAGTGCCTCAAGGCCCGTTCACACTCTTGCGACTTCTTAAAACTGTGACTTGAAACCTCTTACAACAAGAGGACACACTGGCGCCATCTATTGGGTAGCAGTGTAAACTTGGCGGTCCGGCATATTTTCTATTTCTCTCGTGCATTATCCTTTCTTTCTTGGCTCGAAAAACTTTTGTCAACGTTAGAAATGAGCCTTCCTCACAGGTATTACGCACATTTGACCTCGCAAATCCCGCAAAACCTTCGCTCTTATGAAATGCAGTTCCACGGTCACCACATAGATAGCGCCAGAGTGCCAGTGTGTTCTCTCATCCTAAGAAATTTTAAGAGGTTTTAAGAAGTCTCGTCTCTCGGTCATACTTGGTTGCAAGAGTGTGAAAGGGCCTTCAAAGGGGCGCTCAAGCACTTTTTGTGGAAGCTTGTTTTTCATGGTATATTGTTTGTTGGGCTTTAGTCAATAAAAATGACCACTTCTAGATGGCAAGACGTCCTGTTAACCTGCAGCAATAGAAATGCACCGGCACCATTTTCTCTTAGGGGGCCATTCCAGGTCCCCACCGCCTCCATACTATTTTACCAATGAAAATACTTAATCATGTGGAGGTTCCAAATGTTACTATTATTGCTCTTTTTAGGCACATTGCGCAATATATTTTGACAAAAACATTGAGTCTTTGGGTGTAGGACATGTAATACAGCAATTATTGTTTGAAAATGCCGTCTGACGGCAACCCCTGGTGTCTGCTCCAAGGCGCAGGAAGGAAGGCGTGTCATGATCCTTGATTAGGTATTGTCGGAAATGGGCCGCCCAGGAGTAATTTCGGGTTTTTTGTAGGATGCTTAGAGCTTGTAGATTAAGCTATCACCATAAATAGACAATCTCGGAATCCACTTGAAGGCCCCTTAAGAACTTTTGAATATATCTAACGACAAAAGAGCACACTGGCATCATCTATTGAGTGCTCTTTTGTCTTTAGATGAAACACTTGGAATTCTGGTATACTTACTATTTGGTTCATGCATTATTCTTTCTTGGCTTGGAAAACTTTCGACAATGTTATAAACGACCATTTCTCATAACAGGTATGTACATTTGATCTCGCAAATACTGCAAAACCTTCACTTTAGTAAAATACAATAGATGGTCCCAGTGTGTTCTCTCGTCATAAGAGATCACAAGAGCTTAATCGTAAGGAAATGGGCCAAAACAGTGAATATTGATAAGTAGTGCTGTGTGAATATTCGAAATTTTGAATAGTAGTTTCAAATAATACACTACTCGATATTCACTTCAAAGTGAAGTGCGATATTTGAAGTCTCGATCGCGGCGGGTTAACCCCGCTGAGTGCACTTCTCACCGAGCACCCGCGCATTGCAGGGAAGCAATGCCCGCGGAGCTCACTGGCTCTAGCGGGTATTGCTTTCCCGCAGTGCACAGGTGCTTGGTGAGAAGAGCACTCAACAGAGCTAACCCGCCGCAATTATGCAAATGTTAGGCAGCAATGCCTTGACAGCCCGCATTCATCATTTGTGCGTGTTGGTTTTTTTTTTGTTTTTAATGCAAAAGAATTAACTGTCCCATGGAGCGGGCCGACGTCATCAGCTTTGAAGCCGTGCCAAACGGCACCTTAAATCGTTTCTCCAAGTGGAGCCGGGTCTCAGCTTCGAAACCACGCGAAAAGCCTGGCACCTAGTTTCCCCGATCTCAAAGGAGCGGAGTGAAGCTGATGGATTTCAGCTTCGGTCCCATTGGCTGGCGCACGTCATAGTTTCAAGAGACGAGGCTCCCACTGGCCACTGCTCATCAGTTTCAACGACCGCCACCCCCATGGCGCTGCGTGGGCACGCCGGTAACATGAAGCGTCCAAGGTCAGAGCGGCGAAGAGAGCGTGCGATCTGCCGTCAGTGCAAATACGCCGCAGACGATATAAGGGAGCGGAAGAATGACATGCATGCTTTCGCATTCACAACTCATAAAAAGTGCTTAGGTATACCACAAGCTTTTTTTTTTTGTAAGATTTGAAATAGAAGAAAAAGTTTTGCATATTGCAAGCAGATTTATAAATCTCCTTAATTAGAATAGCTGCAACAAATCTGCCATTTACATGGCACAGTTCATACAGCTATGTTAAAATAACCGAGCTTAGAAGTGGACAAGTGGAGGGTTGGGAACAACCTTCTCAAGTTCAGCTGAATTTTCATCCAAGTATGGTGCATGGTAGTCAAAGAATCATTCCTTTTCTAAGAGATCTGAAAAAACCTAATACTGTAAACGACTTTATTTTTGGCAGGCTCCATATTTCGCGAATTCGGCGAAGTATGGTTTCCAGGAATATTTCGCAGGCACAAAGTTATGCGAATCAATGTGGAATGCTATGTATTTGTTATCATAGGAAAACATATTCGAGGGACTTATTTTTCAAAATATTATACAAGTCGCGAAAATTAGGTCCTCGTGAAACTTAAGTTGTTTACAGTATTTAATTTAATACTAACAATAGGAACCCACAACCAAGCTGATGAACTTTCAACATTGTGAAAATCCAATTGAAGAAATACAGAAATGGGACAGGTACTCAGCACAGGTGTTTATTTCCCATCTCCGGCGCCATTATAGCACGACCTCCAGCCAGTCTAATGTGTCGTTCCTCCCTACGTCACCACCAGCACATTCCAGCAAGTTCCAATACTATTAAAACCCATAATCTCGCACAACGCTCAAGACGACGAGTGACCTTAGCGACTAGGCAGGTAAGCTCCACAATAAGCCCAGACAGGCGTGATACCATAGATATACAACCCACACTAGTTACCACTTCAGCTGCAGGCCTTCAGACTAAACACCCACAAAAGCAGTTTGAGATCTTTGCATGGTTTGTCCCAATTCTGTGTTTTCTTTACCTTTGGTTGTCACAATGTTAAAAACTCTTAAAGTATCAGGAGCTTGCAGATTCACAGATGCATTTTAATTGTCAGAAAAGTGATTGCAAACCTGCGGAGTGAAGACTAGCAGGGAATCCTTGAACAAGTACATCTTGCTTGTGCTAAGGATGCCCACGTCTCTCGACTGACGTCCACTGAGATTCAACTTGGAGCTGCGGCCTAAGCACAAAGGAAAGGTCACACACTCGGAAGGCCGGCAACATTTATAGAAACTTTCAGTAATTGCTATAACAGGCCCAGACAACACTTCCAGTGGTATAGGGTCAAGAATACCACATCATTGTACATTAGTAGTAAGTACAGTAATCCCTTGTTATAACAAAGTCAACAGGACGGCAAAATGATTCTATAAAAGCGATAGAGCCAAAAACAACAGTGCCAGCAGCCTTGCAGGTGGATGGAAACACTGCAGAACACTCTGACCGTATATTTAATCAAACAAAACTTGGCTATGAACATCCCGATACAGCTTTGCCGATTAAACAAATAATTAAGTGGAATGTACAGGGTGTCACAAAAGAAAATTTACACGGTCTTTTTTACCGCAAAAATAAACTAGGCATCGCCGAACGCTCGTTCTCTGCCCAAAGGTAGCACTAGAGGTCACAACCAGATGCCAAAGTTTCAGCCCGATCTGATAACTTAATCAAAAGTTATAAGTGATTTTCTGAAAATTTCAATGGGAAAATGGCGGCCGACCGAGTTTTCAAACACATGGGGCTCTATGACACCAGAAACCAAAAACGGGAAAAAATGGGCTCCATTTTCCCATTAAAATTTTCAGAAAATCACTAATAACTTTTGATTACGCTATCGGATCGGGCTGAAACTTTGGCATCTGGTTGTGACCTCTAGCTCTACCTTTGGGCGGAGAATGAGCGTTCGGCGATGCCTAGTTTATTTTTGCAGTAAAAAAGACCGTGTAAATTTTCTTTTGTGACACCCTGTAGATGGTTGAGCGTGTTGGTTACTCTGTCTTATATGTCCCTCTTTCCTTATCGTAAATTAAGTGGAGTTTGCCGATAATTTCACCCGGGGTCAGTTCTCCTTGAACTGCTCCAGGCATTGCAAGAACACTGTCACCACCGCTGCACTCCACTTTGTTTAGAAGCAGCCATTGGATGTTTCGTGTTCCCGAGGTGCATCTACGACGTCGCTTCACATTTATCCTGACTGCGCGCAATGGCTACGATCACAGCCTCCGTGGCAGGAGCAACAAGGGGAATGTCCGCATCGAGAAGTGGGAATGAATCAAAGTTATCCTCGGTGGCTTTGCCAATATGCTTTCACACACTCCTGTAGACATGTTCCATCTACGAAAATCGTGCGCCAGCTCAGCGAGCATGTCCACGAGAGAAAATCCGACATGCGCAAAGCAGTTGGCGATCTTTCATCTACGAGTCGTGGGCTCTCCTGCATGAGAAACTTCTGAAACCTGCCCAATATGCCCTGCTTGTTCTGCAAAATGGTGGACAATGTCGAACAGTCAATGCCGGAATGTTGAATTCTTTGCTGATTTCGGACACTCCCAATCTACAATACGATGTACGTGTGCGTGTAGTATGCTGCAGGCACGCACATCATGGACTCTTGAAGGGATGATCTCCTCCGGGCTTGATTGCTCCATTGCCCCCATTCTGACAGGAGTTGGGCAGTGCCTGCCGCGTGCACCATAAGTAGCATCGGAACGTTGATGCTGCTCCCTGCCCGCGACCCCGCATCAGCGCATCGGCATCAGAAGCGGCGCTCTGCAAGCTCTGTGCACTCTGCCCTCCATGACCCATTTACTCCGTCTTACCAGTTTGCCATATGCCTCAGTGGAGAAGGAGGAGGGAACGCAAGGGTCTCCCATGCGCCTCCGTGTAGGCTTGCATGCTTTCGGTGCGTGGTCGGCCGCCGACACACTTCGAATAGTCCAGTTAAAAATGCGTGCAATTCGGTCAGAACCATGTTAAACTTTGATAAAAGCAATAGTTTGAAAAAAGCGATTTCGTTACAACGAGGGATTATTGTACCGATATGCATATGCATGCACTGAAATGCATCTACTGAGTTCATGTGTAAGATGCTGATGAGGTAATTCATTTTTGCAAGTACTAGTAACTCTAGTTTAAGGCTAGAAACCTACAAGAAACTACAGCTTTTCTCTTCTTTTCGTATACATGTGAGCATATCTTTTAAGACAGGTACTATGAAATAAAAATCTAAGTTATCTTTTTAGCTCTCAAAACCTAGAATTTAATTGTAAATGGAAAGATATGTACATGCTTCCAGCAAAACGACACAGTAAGCTTTTTAAAACTAAGCAAACTGAAAAGCACTGTGGAGGCTCTGGCCCAATTTGCCACAACACAAGATTTCCGATTTCCAAACAAGACCACTAAAATAAGCTCAAGCTGTTGCCATAGCTTAGAAGTTCAACTCAAAACTTTAGCATTTTAGAAATCGTTACTGCCTCAGCAGGCAAGATGTAAATGTCGGCTCTGACCTAAGTATGTGTAAATGTGCCCCAGAACTCTGGCAGGCAGGACCTCAAAATCCGGGACATCTTGGATCGTTTGCACAAATATTTCGTGGTGCATCAACTTTTCTTGGATGATATGATCTTCAGCAAGCACCACAACTGAAATGCAAAACATCAATCAGCGATCAACGTGCCTCAAAACAGTCTCCTTGACCCAGATCGAAGACTGAATAACAAATGCAACTGAAGAGTTTTCACAGTTGACTGAATCAAAATGACACCTTGGCATCCACACACCTTGGACCACCACGTCGGGCTTTTTCTCTGATGCTAATCTTCGGTTTAGTGGATCCAATTCTCCAGGGACAATGAAACCCTAGAATGGTCATCTAGTTGAGAAGACTCCCAGCACTTCAACCAGCACATTCCCATTACCTCTTGCAAGAGCCGGCCGATTATGAAGAGGGACTGTGCCCACATGAAAGGCGTCATGCCGACATGAACGCGCTGCTGGCTGTGGGGGGCCTTGTACTCTGCTTCAACCTGCCAAAGAGTTGGCCATTACATGAAGTCAGACTTCTAATGAGGCCTTCAAGCATGCCTTCTAATATGGCAAGAATGTTCTTAGAAAACTGCCTCATAGCTAATGTTTGATCCCTTCAACATGTACACTTCTCAAGGTGTAGATTATTCCCAAGGAGCCTAATCCAGAGTAGTCAGACCTTATGCCTAGTGCAAAGTCTAAGCAACTCCAAGCAAATCTCAACTTGCAAATTAGTCCAAGGTTAATTTTAAATTTTATAAAGTTTGCCATCACAGTTTTTGTACATTCCAATGAGCACGACAAGATGCTCTGGAGGACAGTCCATACAAATTTCTTCTCTTCGGAGGTAATTACTTAACAAGAGCTCTATCGGTGATAGGAACTTTGAATAAAACAATAAGAGACCATGCCATTACTACAATAAAGGAAACTGAAGGATAAGTTCCCCCACCTTGTCGGGCGGAACGGCATACATTTCAGGCACGAGCTTGAGCCCGTCTTCTGTACGAAGCAACAGCTGCTCCAGGGCATCCGAGTACTCCTCCACCTAGAAAGAGCACACACTTTTTAGCCCTTCATATTATTAGTAGAGTGCAAATAATGAATTTTCAACTGAATCTACTAATCAAAATATTAAAAATTTACTTTAGATAGAATTGAATATTTCATATTTAATGTAAATTGAGCATGGATACTTTTCTTAGTATGTTCCATCTGGGATTCCCTTCCAGCAAATATTCCAATGAAAAGAAAGCTTTACAGCATGTGAAACGTGGCATTAAAATGGCAGTAAGTTGTTAATCAGATACATTTCCAGGTGCAAATGACTTGCCTCGAGCCGTTCTCCTCTGAAGCAAGCATCAATGACTAGGTAACAGAAGAAGAGAGGCCATTCACATTCAATGTTCTCAAAATGTTGCAGTTCCCAAGATTCATAGTAAAGCCTTGTCGGATCCTGAAGATCAAGATGGGATGGAAATCAAATGGAAGCATAATGGGATTTAAAACAAGACAATTAGAGTATATTCGGAAGGGTGGACGCATCTAGGTAGCGACAAAGAACATCCAAAAACCGACTGTGAGCGTTACCTCTTTTGCTGTCTTGTAGCCGTCCCTCAAGAACCGTTTGCAACCATATTTGCCCTAGAACATAAAAAAATAGAGTTAGACACAAACACTCCCCAAAAATGTTTTTTTAATTTTTTTGCCAGGCAATTTATTATGGTGTTAGAAGACTACCCAATCAATATTTTGCTACAGCATCACATATACTTTTAAAAAAGTCAAAAAACACAACTGCTCTAAACCGAAACCAAAACTGGACTTGGGGGAAAAAGAAATATAGAGGAGAAAGTTTCCAAAAAATCACCTAACTGTGCAATTTCTTTTTTTTTTTTTTTTTTTTAAACAACGTATTTGTGATTTTGTAGAAACCACAAAAAATGGGTGTCATATTTTCGGTCTATTTTTAGTATTGAGTGTGTGTTTTCGATGACCTACGACTTTGATCATCTTAGGTGGTTGTGTCTAAGCCACAGAAAACGACACGTGACCACTGAAAAGAGAGTGAGTGAAACTCAAAACGGCCAGTTCTTGATCAACAATTATCAGGCAAAAAAAAAAAAAAAATTTCGAGCTGCAAATTGCGTTTTCGGTTGTTGATCTCTCATCTGTCATGTACAAATAAAAACCCTGGCAAGCATAAATACCCTGTCAGTGTCCCTTTAAAAGCCCATGTTCATCATTCATGCTTTTTTTTTTTTCATTTGAAATAGAAGAATATTTTGATATAGCAAGCACACTTATAGTAAGCAGGCTCCTTCTGATTAGTATAGCTGTGACAAAAAAGTATTTTACATGCCACAGTTCATATAGCTATTTAAATTAACTGAGCTTCGAGGTGGAGAAATAGAAGGTTGGGAACAATTTTCACAAGCTCAGCTGAATTTTCGTTTTAACATGGTACATGGTAGTGAAAAACTTGGAGAAACTGTTTGATATTGGATTGAAAAATATTTGGCCAAAACCACTATTTGCTTTGAACTCTAAATTCACTATTTGCACATGCCTAGGGCTAATTGGCATGACATATAAACTTGAATTGACTTCATTACCCTGAGTTTCTGCAGGATGCTTTCCCGGGTTAATGTTATGAGGTCCAGGTCATCCACTGCAAAGGCAGGGTAGCCAATGACCGACAACAGTGCTGCATCTACTTCCTAGATCGAGAAAGTAGCAAAGAAAGAAAAAAGGGTGAAATAGTGTTAAATAACAGACAATTTATCTGGCTCGTTTCATAGCAAACAAAGTGCTTGACTACACTATATGTTACACCCAAGATCTATGGAAAATCTCGTTTTTAAGGAGTAATGTTGCCTGCAGCTTCCTTAGCCTTATCACAGTTAACTGAAGTTACCTTATTCTTTTATGCTGTCCAGTGTTTGAATGTAAGTGTTTGAACATCCAGCATTTGCTTACTACTTCATATCATGGAGAAATATATAATTCCCATAAAAATGTCAAAAGGGCACAAAAATATGTTCCATTCTCACCATCCCCCAAAACTAAGAATAATGGTCCTATCCAATCTCTCACTGAGTCACTGAACAGTTCTTAAAAGAAATGTAGGAGCATGCTTACCTTTGAATTCGACTCTCTTGGAAGCATTGACTGTAGCACTGCCTGAGAAACAAGAGTTATAGGAAATTATGAGCAAATTGAATGTTAAGACTTGAGGGAGATAAAGAAAGAAAATGCTACCCACATTGCATTTTTGGGCCTCATCAGCTAAGACATGAATCACTGAAAAGGGGCCTCCCTTGCCTCCAAACAAATCCAGGTCGTCTAACGCTTGAAGGGCTGCCTGAATTAAAACACAACAATTAAGGGCACAGCAGAACACTTGGCACTGGTGATTAATTTTACAATTAATGCTGTGAATAAAATTAATCTTTCCAACTAATTGACAGCAACTTATAAGACTACAATATATCTTAATTACAATTAAAATAACTTTGGTTTTGTAATTGTTAAATTTTGTGTGCACTTCGCTTTTGTAAGTACTATAGTTAAGACTAATATTGAAGTATTTCTTTTTTTTATTAGAATTGTAAAAGGAATGCGTGGTCGCCCTGTAAACACTATCATCCTGTGAGGTAAATTGTATGTTAAAACCCTCAAAACATAAATAAAAGGAAACAGAAGTTGGCAGTCACTGGAAGTAGAAAAAATTATTAAAACATTAATGTTTCCAAAAACTTGAAAGACCAACAAGAATTCAGCTTTTAGCAATGGGAAAACTGATTTATGAGTCAGATATTGACATTTAATTCCTTTCAAGATAAGCTGATTGCCAATCCCTGCAGTATGGCAAATACCGAAGCAATTAAAACTTAAAATTCAAAATCCTCACCTTTGCCATTCCTATTGAGCTTGAATTGAGTTCAGGCAAGCCGTGATTTGTCTTGTCACCACGTTCCCAAATTCCATAGTCCTTAAAAAAGTTACCATATGGTTTGTGTCTTAGATAAAAAAACAAGCATTGTTTGCTCACAAGAAGGTGTAAATACAACATTCATCAAAAACCAAGGTGTTGTCAGCCCTTAAGTAGAACATGGAAGGCAGTTAATCACAATGAAGATGAGTCCACCTACTCTTTAGTTGTTACTAAATTGCCATCATTAAATATGGGTTGAAGTATTTTCCCAGTGCCAATATCATATCACTCCTATCCTCAGTCATGTATTTCTTTAAAACTGAAACACATTAAGCCCATGCTCAAACCATTGTCATGGTTATTAAGCATTCAGGGTAATTTCTACCATAAGCTACTTACAACCGTGTTGTTGTTTCTATAATTGAAGTTTTAGTTATTAAATACTAATTAAATGCTTTGTTGATTTCTAGCTAGGTCCAACTAAATCATCCTCATTTCTGTGCAATGCATATTTTGAAGGAATTCTTTGGTCTATGCTTACAGAAGCACTAGTGTGTAAAGGTAAATGATTGTGCTTAATACTTACAGGTATGCAGTAAGTTGTTTCAATATAAAATACCAAATTCTGGATGAAGGCAACTTCATCTAGATTAAATACTATCTGCAGCCCTGCAAAAGAGAGGATTAGGAGACTCTTACAGTATGAAATGCTTTAGTGTGCATTGCAGGCAGTCTAGAGAAATGTTACTGGATGTATTTTTAAATATGGCAGAGTGATTGACCAATTTGTCCAATCACTGAAAACAGTGCAGAAGAATTACTGTAAATTTAAAGTACAGTCTAATTAACAACTTTATATTGATCTAAACCGGCCGCTATACTAAGATAAATGCAGCTTGAATTTTTTAGCTGTGAAAAAGCTCCATTTGCACTTTTGTTTCTATGTTTTAATTTGTTTGCACTATATGATATTATTTTCCTTGTACTTGTTTCTTCCTTTTGCTGTTTGGTTTTCTTGCCATAGGACAGTGGTTCTCAACCATCAATGTTTTGCGGACCCCTTGTGGATCGGCGGAGATGATGGAGGACCCCGTTCGGGGTGAGGGAAGGTATAGGGTAAATATAATAATAATTGAATAAATGGATTTCAGTAAGGGCTAGTGTAAAGCAGACCTTTCTTCTTGACATGCACACGAGGAAACTCGCCCAAAAACTGAAACGTTTCTTCTCGACCAGGAAAAAAAAGATTTATTGCCGGGCTTGACTGATGAACGCGGACCCCTAGAATGCCTTCGCGAACCCCGGAGGGTCCGCAGATTCCCATTTGACAGCCACTGCCATTGGACATTGTGTAACTCACCAACTCCGATTTGCCCTGAAGAGCACTGCTTATTACTTAGTTTTATTCTGCTATACATATTTCTTGTTTGATGATTATTTGTTTTAAATATAAAACAAATGCACATAGAAGCATCAAGTGATAAGCAAACAGTAAATAAAAAAAATTTTGTGGAATACAGTGGGTAAAGTTTGATTTAAATCATCACTGGAAAACCAGTGCGACTTAAATCACCTCGGTTTTTATTCTCCACCCTGTCTCCAGCGCATATACTCATACCATAAACTGTCATGGTCATTATGTGCATTATAACTAGGGATGCTGCAAACTTTTTTCGAATCGAAGTTTCGATGATCGAATCGAGCGGTTCGAAAGATTTTGAATTTTCTAACTTTCCATATCGAGAAATTTGATAGAAGTCGAATTTTCGAACTTGCTAAACTAAGAAGTTTGATGCTTTTCAAACTTATTACGTTGCGAAATTCGATGCTTGTCGAACTTTCGAACTTGATAGACTAAAAAATTCTATGATTTTTTAACTTTCGAATTTTTTGCACCAAAAAGTTTGAAGCTTTTCGAACTTTCGAACTTCCTACGCTAAGAAATTCGATAATTTTCAACCTTTCGAACTTATTAATCTAAAGAATTCGAAAATTGTAGAACTCTTGATTCTTGAAAAGTCAGAAGTTCGACGAACTTCGAACTTTTAGGGTAAAAGTTCGAAGTTCGTCAAACTTCGAAAGACTGGCGGGCGGTTTCATTTGGATTCAAGCAGTGAGGTACATTCGTAATTTTTTTTATCGCAATTTTACATGGGGTGCCACATTCCTTGCGAAAAACAATGCCGTTTATTTCAATCATCTGTCATGCTTGGTTTTAGAAAAATAGATTCCCGAAGGAGCGAGGAAGGACAACGGGTTTTTGACAATTGTCGTTTGTGCCATATTTGAAGCGCGCTATAGCCAAAGCTATTTATGGTAGAGATGTTAAACTTTTTAAGAATAATCTATATATAGCCTAGGTGAGTGTTGTTTTAAGATATGATTATTGTTGTTCAAGACGAGTTTCGAATAAATATCCAAACATGTACCTACGGACAATTATACCGTAAACTTGGTAATTTTTTTCGCCTACATTGTTTGGGGTATCGCATTTAAATTAACACCAGAGACAGTACATAACATTACCATCTGCAGAATACAAAATAATGTATTTATTGTTCTTTTCCCGTTGGAGGAATAAATTAACTCATGGGGGAGGATTTCTAAAATTATTTAAGTTCAGCGCGTCATAAATTTTTGTTTTTCTTATTTTATGTTTTTGGGACGTGTTTCTTTTGGCCTGTAGACATTTTGGTAGGAGAAACTTGTTTCATAGTTCTGGGCCTCTGAATATGCAAGAATACAACACTTCCGACGGGTTCTTGATAGTTTTGTTTTTTTTTCTCTCCAGCTTTTTATTTTTGCATTTATTGTTATGTTTATTAATTGATTACTTTTTACCAATGGCACAGTTATTTAGGTCGAAAAGACATAGCTTTGAACTTTCGAGCCACCGAGCATGTGACAAGTAGTGCCTCCTGACAACAAGTTTCTAAAGGCCTGTTCACACATGCAGCGGAGCGCTACAAGCATAGCACTGACATCGTGCTAAGCACGTGCCGATGGGAGCGTTCACCAGCTTTTTATCGCACCATCAAAACTGTTGCTCATGGCATACGATAAGTACCTGACGGCACGTGAGCAGCGTTACATCAGCGCTTCACTGCATGTGAGAACCGGCCTTAACAATGACCATCTACACAATATTTTATGCAGTGAAGAGCGACATAGCTATACATAAGCATAAATAATTTCAGATTAAAATAAGCTCGACCATTCCCTCTTTCACCGTATTGTTATCTTTAACAGTCCGAAATATCTGGGAGGGGGGGGGGGGAGGGAGAGACTGGAGCTCCCCCCCCCCCCCCTTCCCCCCCCCCTCCCCGTTTTTCCTCTTCCGACGCCACTGGAACGGTAGAACGCTCCTCGACCTCAAGTTGCGTCAGCTTCTGTGCTTTTTGCACGCGTTTCTTCTACCCCAGAAAATAAACCTCCAAAGCAATTAAAAACAAAAAAATTGTCAAGGTGCAGGCGAGCTGGTGTATGTTGATCATGATGCAAAATCCCGAGACTGGGAGTGAAATTCGCAAGAAATAGTGTAAGAAGAAAAAAAAAAGGGAACAGGACAATGTCTCAAACTCAGCTGAGTTGAGTTTGAGACGTTGTCCTGATCTGAGTTTTCAGCTGAGTTGAGTTTGAGACGTCCTCTCCCCTTTTTTCTGTCTTCTTACACTTTTTCTTTCAAATTTCATTCCCATTTTGCATCATGTACAAACTAAACTTACTATATGCCAGCGTCACTCGGGCGGTGTTCGATCGGATTACTACCAGCATGCAAGGGGGTAGGGGGGCAGTTTGCCAAATCACTTCAAGGTTTTTCTGAACCTCAGCCACCCGCCTGCCCCCGGTCGTTTCAAACTGGATGAGTATCGTTAAACAGTGCGTTCGTAGGATCAGTACTTTGTAATGCACGTTAATAGACCCTTTCCGAAATTCAGTCTGGCCACTTTGATCGCTATCATCATCTGTGGAAAGGCATCTGTGCCATACCAATGGCGGCCTTCTAGCGACTCATAAAGGAAGACGTTGAAGATGCTTATAAGCGGATGATGCGAGGCCTGTACATTCGGGGGGTCAGTACAACGCAACGTAGGAGTCAAACACAAGAGCTACGTAAGCGTTTATTTCTAATAACTAAGATTCAGTCAATCTGCGGGCGGCAAACAAGCTTTAAAGCATTTTGGTGTATAGAATTTTCCCGAGGCACCTCAGTGGGTTGGAGCTTTGTTTTGAATGCAGGTTCTTGGTCACCATCGAACTGAAAGTGATCGAGAAAGAACTTACACTGAAGAACTCCTCGCGTGCCGTTGACTTGCAAAAGTGACGGTGCCGATACAATTTCCTTTCCGCCATTGATATGGCAAAAGCTAAACTGCTTTACAAACCACCAGGTGGCACTGAATTTCGGAAAGGGTCTATGACCACCCCGGGGTGGCGGTAAAAATTACTGATTTATTGTTACACGTCACTGCACTGGCAAATATTCCAGCACATCTGGGGCACTCGTCGTCTCATTTAATTACCTGACCAACTTCGCGCAGTCTAAATATCACACCCAAACTTTTCTAAACCTGACTTCGTGAAAATCAGTGAGGCGTGAAAACGTTATTTGAAATTTAAATTGTGGCGGAACATGAAAACCGGACTTCGAACTTTGCGCACTTGGACTTAAAAAAAAAACAAGAAAACATTTAAAGTTTTTGAGAATCGAAACCTTCGAACTTTTCAAACTTTATGTAGAAAGAAATTCGAAATCTTTGAATTTATCGAACTTTATGTCTTCAAAAATTGTAAACGTTTGAATTTTTCGAATTTTACATCCAAAGAAATTCGAAACATATGAATCTCTCGAATTTCAAATTAGGGAAGTTCAAAATCTTTGAATTTATCGAACCTCCAAGTAAACAAATATTCGAAATAATCGAACCTGAAGTTTTAGAAACCATAAAAGCTTCAAACTTTTCTAATTCAAAACCCCACAATTTTGGAAAGTTGCAAATTTTTCGAATTCGAAGGTTCGAATTCGAAAAATTCGCAACCTACGGTCGAAAATATAGAAACCTTTCGAATTCGAACCTAGGGTGGTTCGCGCCATTCCTAATTAAAACAGTGTAAAAAAAAAGTAAGTTTAAAGCGCGAAACACATGTACGACGAAACCGTCCGATCCGACGTCCGACCGCGCAATACGACGGTCGGAGGCGAGGGTTTTCCACGCTCTCCGATGCTACGAAAGCCCTCTCCCCCCAAGGTCATTCCGGCAGTCCGCACGTCAGATCGGACGGTTTCGGCGTACATGTGTTTCGCGCTTAAAGCACTTTTTTTACAAAGCAGTGCATCCAAATGAAACGTTTCTGAAAAGAAACTTTAGTTTAACAAAAAAATAAAAGTCCCCATATGTTTCTTAACAGGTGACAGGTAAAGGGGAAACTCCCTCCCACCTCTTTCCCTTTTAGCACAGTGAACACTGGAGAGGAGGCAACCCCCTCTCCAGCATTGACTCTGCTAAAATGGAAAGAGGGGAGAGCAGCTTCCCCCTCAACTCTTAGCCTGTCGTCTACTATAGCTATTCAAACAAGTGTCATCATGTCTCAATGACGTAAATGTATACTTATCCAATGCCTTTCTTCACAAACTTCAATAGAGCAGTAAAATTGCTTTTGATTTTGTGTCTTTAAGGCACTAACTTGTTTCTTGTGCTCTCAAATTGTGGAAACTAGAAATTATTTGCACATGTATACCCTAATTTCCCATGAAATATGACATCAAGAACAAATCACCAAGCACAGGGGAAGCATGCAATAAGGAAGCCATTTACCGAAAACAAGAATACCGCTCACCATAACAACCATAATCTGCACATAAAAGTTATCAACAAACAGAGCCATAACAACAACTTTAACTCCAGCACATGTTTTATGGTAACATGTTTCTTAACAAGCACTGAAGAGTTTGAAATGCCCCATATATGCAAGCTAGCAACTAAGCGCTCACAAAGCTGATCTGATTGTCGTCTGTGGGAAAACGCTTTGTTGGGGCACCGTCCGGCAACCGTGCCTTAGCCCTTGACTATAAGACAATCTGCACAGACCAGCAACATGATGGCCACTCCCAGAGGCTGAATAATGAGCATGCTCAGTGGTGGCCATAGCCATGTGCATTGTGGTTAAAGGTACACTTTGCGCTTCCCACTTTTGCCTGCTTGCTCCTTTTTTATATCCTCTCCACAGTTTACCTCTCTCCAACGTGGCTCCCCTCACCGTTTCTGAAAAGGGGACGCTAAAGAAATTACCGTCCCTGCAGAAAAACACAGATTATTTGTCGGCCTTTGAGCGCATGCTCGTAGTGAGCATTCGCCGGATTCCTTTCGTACCTTCAAAACTCTCAATCATGGCACAGAATAAGATGCCCTACACATAGCTCACACTGACAATGACGAATACCAACGATAGAGTTACACAGGACACAAAGGAAGGAAGTGGAAGGAAGACCGACCAGATGCCGTCATCTGAGCCAGCACGAGGAGGTAGAGGGAGGTGGCATCCAGCTGCAGGTGTCCCCACTCCCCGTCTCCCACCACCGAGCCCAAAGTCTCCGAGCTGTACTTGGCATGCAGCGAATCGGTGGGGCTCTGTGTCATCTTGAACTTCTCCACCTTGCCCTTTTGGCGCATCATGGCCGTCAACAGGCCTCGCATCATCTTCACACACGCCTAACGGGAAGCACAACAACATTCATGAAAGTCGCATTACTTTCGACGAAATTAGCGCAAGGAAGCAGCGCAAATTTGGCGTATATGAAACACTACAGAAGATTATTTTGCAACTGCCGTGCTCTGCTGAATATTATAATTCTTTCGTTTCATCTCAATTTTTGTGATGCATAAACTGAATTTATTGAACTTTTTTCTTCGTGTTGAATGATTTGTGTCTAACGAGCCACCCTATTGCACTGTCACTGAAGTATTACCAGGATATGAGAGCCACACCCCGTTTCTCTTTTGTTATGATTTCTTTGAAATGCTTTGAATTTCATTCTTGTTAAAACCCATTCTTTTTATATGCAGGGCGACCGAAATACCCTGGCTCGATTCCTAAATGGGCTATAAAAATCGGCGCCTCCACGTAGCAATCTAAACTTTTTGTCAAAGGTGTATTTGACAGGGCAGTTTTTTTTTTCTTGTATAATTACAAAGCGTAGCTCCCTTTCTGTAAAAAATAGGGCCAAAAAACTTGCCAGGGTCAATGGCGAAGGGCTACGCAGACGACCGAGTTAAGTTGCAGGGCACATTTGGTGCGCATATTGATAGATATATAATATAATATAATAATAGTTTTATTTCTCATCAATGATGAAGGGGAGGCCGAAGAAAAAAGCTGCAAAGGAACAGCTTGACGAGTCTCCGGCTCCCTACAGTGGCAAGACAGACGGCAGCAGAACAACGAACAAGTTATAAAACAGGGAAGGGAAATAAAGATTGAAATACAGTGGCTTGACAGTCATTCATGATTACATTTTTAGCAAGGACAGTACAAATTTCACATGTATTCAGCTAAGGTCCAAATCATTACTTGTGAGGCTGTTGAGTAAAAACGGTAGGGTGTGTTTGAGCATTTGCTTACCATAATTTGTTCTGTGAGGGATCATCTTCCAATACTCAGTGTGACGAGTGGGATACGCCTGAATATTTTTGGTCAGTGCTGAAAGTTCAGCTAGAAAGCAAGAATTCCTTTTTTCTTCGTTTTTATAACTAACGCTCAACCTGTAATTATATAAATTATGTGCAGTAATAATTGCAAAGCGCGTAAAGAAGCAGCGTCAAAAGGTGTAGCCGACCAGTAAAAGAAAGCAGGCACGCAGAAAAAATCCACTGGCAGCCAGTGCTTAAAGTCTGGGGGGTCTCAGGGGGTCGGGACCCGCCTCCAATTTTGGCGGGGGGGTCCGGCTGTACCTAAGGTCCCTCTGTCTTAGTCATGTGCTTGGGGAACAGAGATGACAAGTCCTGGATTAATTGAAAGAATACATAGCTGTAGAAATAAGCTGTAGAAGTGTCGGTTTAATGTTATAGAAGAAACACAAATAGAACCCCCCCCCCCCCCCCTCCACGTCCTTTTTCTGGGGGCCTCTACCTGTGCTCGAACTAGGAGAGATCCACCCAGAATGGAGGTTGACTTTAAGCCCTGCTGGCAGCAAAAGTGCCGTCGTTATGCAACCACTTTTTTTTTTTTTTTTTTTTACTTTAAGTTTTGCTTTTAATGTTTGCAATTATTTTTAAACCAAAAGTACATTACAAAAAGATCATATATTTTAATAAACCACGGTGGTCGCAAGCAGTCTCTATAAGAAGTTGGCACCATCGATCAATATGTGTGCCGAACGCATCCAGCCACCTGACTCAATTGTCTGCGTCGCCGTCTGCCGTTGACCCTAGCAAGTTTCTTGGCCCTATATTTTAAAGGAAAGAGAGCTACACTTTCTAGTTTTACCAGAAAAAACCGACCCGCGAAATACACTTTTGACACAAAGTTTAGATTGCTATGTGCAGGCGCCGATTTTTATAGCCCATTTTAGATAGATCCTGGTTATTCCAGTCACCCCATATATTTATAGGGTTCTTCGTTTCCAGGTTTTATATTTTTTAAAAATCATGGGGGTAAAAATTGGGCGCTATTTTTCAGGCTAATGATAGGGGGGAAATCTGGTCTTTCTGAAGCCATTAGGAAATTGGGTTTTCTCGGGCCTTATTTATGAAGGGCAAGTACGTACCTGAAATGTGTTATTTATACAAACAAAAGTCAACAAAGTATATGATATAGCAATGGTGCCTAATCTTACAGTATATTTCCACAATCTGACTCATTCTGAAGCGAATTTATGCAGAGGTAACACAAATCGAAGAAGTTTGTTACGATCAAACAAGTGACCAAGAAGGCAGTTCTGAAACAGATCCAGAATTGTTCTTATTTCCTATAAATTCAGCTAATTTTAAGACCCGTATTCGGGGAGCATAAAAACTATTCGGGGTGCAAAAATCCGGTAATATCAGGTTTTACCCGAAAACGAAGAACCCTACACAGTAACTGTAACTGGCAATGATGTACCCATCCCTGCATATGTGCAATTGAGATGCTACCTGGCTAAACCCAAACGTACGAAAGCCCTTTCATACAATATGTGCCCTTACCTCTGACACACCTTTTCATTTTTCTTTCTGCCTTCCGTTAGGCCTCATCCCTGAATTCTTTTTTCTTTCCTCTGGTGCCGATATGACAAAATCTCAGTCATCCTTTTTCTCTTAACGAATTTTATTAGCAACAATTAATCCTGATCCTCACAATGGAAGAGGTTCAATTGTGTTTCTCGCTGAATTCAGAAAAGGATTGCACATCAGAAGAAATTCTATTAATTTTCCATTTTCTTCTTACCTGTTCAAGTTCATACGTCTTAGCCCTGTCTTCGTCCAAGTCAGCATTTTTCTTGTAGGCCATCGAGAGGGCCCAGACGGCAAGAATGGAGTAGACATTATCTCGCACCCAGGCATGATCTCCCTGCTTCTGGCTCGGTATCAGCCCGCTCACAGGGTCCTGAGGGAATCAATCCAGCAAATATCGGCATGCATATGGGTTCAGATAATCATTAAAATATTGACCAACTTGACAGCGAGGCGCAATTGAAGCGAAACAAACGATCGCTGGACACAAGGAAATGATCGATCGAACTACGCATTCAATGCACATCGATACGTTCGGGGTTGTGTATTCAACTCTATTTTACGTGTGCAAACGTATTCATCGAGCATCGGATATCCATGGCACTCCACACTATTTAAGCATAAATTGTACATTAGCTAACTATTCAAATTGTGACTGCGGCGACCATCTCTATAATTTATTTAAATTGAATTTTCGGGGCAGAATTGCATTGCCTGCACATTTCCAAAGCGTAAGAAAATTGAAGGGCTATTATTTCAGCGACGTGTCGAGACCTCTAGGTCAGTTGGGCGCCGAGGTTCACAATATTTTGGTATGTAAACACAGCGTTCAGCGCGTGCGCTCGTGCACGCGAGAGCGCCGAACCCGCGTGCGACTACATCGCACACCGCGCACGAAACACGAGCAAGGGAGCGGATTTCTCTGAAAAACTAGATTTAGCCACCATCCCTTCATGTGGACGTTCCCTGTGTTCTCACCTGAAAGTCCAATATCGTTCGACACACCAGGCGCTGATAGTAGTCGAGGCGCACTCCGGAATTCCTGCGGCTCCTCATCTTCCCGCAAACCTCGACAATGGCGCAGACGAGTCGGCGCCGTCCGCGTTCAATGTTCCGTCGGCTCCGTCCCGATCTGCCGAGGTTGCGGTGTCTCCTTGTCGCTCAACTATCTCTGGGAGCTCATCTTGTTTCCGATCCGCAGCCTCCGGAACCGCCGTGACCCCCGAAAATCCGAAGGACACACATGAAAACGGAACCGATCGCAGAATTTAAAGTGCGGTAGGTCCTACAGAGATGGCGGCACCTGTTCAACGTTCGCGTAGTTTGCATTGTTTTTTGGCGTTCCCGGCAAAATCAAATGATTCGAATGACCCCTTTTATTTATATTATTTTATAAATATGCCACTGACCCTAACTGTGGCAGAAACCCATCACACAAGATAATTTGTCATACTGTTTCCACGTTCTTGTGCGGCCCATGTTCAAAACATCCAGCGCTTCTCGAGTTTTCTTCAGGAACCTCAGGATCAGCGGCGTAGTCTTTCCATTTCCCCCCGCCCCCCGGGGGGGGGGGGGGGAGGTTGTTTTTTTGCGCAACTTTTTTTTACACCGGCAATTATCAGTTGTTTATTTTAGGAGGTACATTTTCAGCGTATCTATATCGCCATGTGTCCGTCGCTGTGTGCGTTATTTTGTTTACATGCCACTAGTAGAAGCTCGTCACATGGCACGTAAACAGCGTCTCGGTAAAGGTCATGGCCCGGGGGGGGGGGGGGGGGGGGGGGGGGGGGCTCTGCCCTCCCCCCTTTACGTATTTTACCAGGAGGGGCACGAGCCCCGATGCTCCCCCCCCCCCCCCCCCCCCGTAGTCTGCTTAGGATAGCATTTTTAGAATACTTGTGCAAACGTTGATCACGTAGGTGGATGCGACCTTGAATGCATCGATATACTATACCTCGTCTAAATCGAACGAAAGTGGTTTCAGTTGCGGAAAATAAATATTTTCCAGTACTGTACGTGTCCGTGTGCGCGCGTGGCGCGTGCGTGCGTGCTCGAGCTCCGAAAGTTTTCAGTTGTCGCACCTTTCAGATATTTTAGAAATCTTCATTTTATCTGGATTATATGAGCGTTGCGAACGTGCAATTTGAATTTTGTGAACAAAAACAATCTAAACATAAAAAATGCCTTGTTTACGTTTAAAAGTGTGATGATTAAGCAAAGCTATGGCTTTTGGTGCAAAACAAAAAGTACTTAGCCTGTTACCCCAGGAACAAAATTTACGCTGATTGCGCTATAACCAAGTGAAATATAAAATGAACGAGTAATTGCTTTTTGTACCAAAAAGAACGAGAATCCGATACAGTCGTTGCACGCATATACGTGACAGGCGCGTGCTGCCGCAGTGCAAGCACGACGACGTCAGTTTTTCGCATGTCACGAATCAAGTACGACATATCAAATGTAACTGCCTAGGTAGCACAGGTACATCTTGCTACAGAAGTAACAAAAGCAGGTAAAACATGGGCAATTTTTCGCAGGTCACGAATAAACTTGAATAGTACCTGTGGCTGGGCATCAACTAAAAATATTGACCCGATTAATCCGCACATTTTAATCGATGAATCGCTCACGTTATTTGCCAGGCATAATAACGGCGAGAGAGCAACAGCATTTTTTTAAAGCGCAGCTCTTCAGCGCGATCCAAACCAACGCGTTTTTGTGCACGCGTAGGCCGTGCGCTTCCCGGAAATTGCGTATTTCGTGACGTTTTTGCTGTCTCCGGAGCGCTTTCTGAGTTCCAACCATGTGCACTGGTTAGGACGGTGCGCGTTGAGGCGAGCGGAGACCATCTGCGCCAGACGGCGAAGAAACGCGGAGCCGGAACTAGTGCCCTCCACCGATTGGCCGGGAGAGGAGAGCCCTACTACGTCACAGCGCGTTTTCGTGCGCATTCAGAAGAAATCATTCAACTTTCTTATGCGCACCCGGAAGGAGCGAGGAATCAGCGCGACGTCACGAAATACGCAGTTTCCGGGAGATGCACGGTCTACGCACGCACAAAAACGCGTTGGTTTAGATCGCGCTTCAGGCGCCCGTTTCCGGTTGGAGCGGCGTCGGCGTAACCTCGCGTTGCATCATAGGACGTTTCTCATAATGACGTCACGAAGGTACCTCGTGAAGGTCACGAGGGGCAAGAGGGAGGACGGAGGAAGGCGGAGGGAAGAGGAGGAGAGGAGGAGGGGGAGAGGAGAGGGTACGGAGGAGGACACGCTCATACGCTCCTTTACGCGTACCCTCCCCTTGAAGCAGCGACCTGCCTTGAAGCAGCGTTGAAGAAATCATGTGAACATGAAATGGGCAGGAGTTTTCTGTTGCAGGTTGATCGCCTATTAGCTGCGGGTTTCCCGGGAAAAACACTTGCTGATGTAGCAGATGGATTGAAGAGAAAGTTTAGAGGCCTTCCACAGAAAGCTCATGAACGACCAAAAGGTAGACCAGCAATCATACCCTACCTTCATGCCGTATCCCACAACCTGAAAAAAGTGGCGGGGCGCTTCAACGTTCCGGTGGTTCTCACGGCCCCTAACAAACTTTCGTCTTTGTGCAAGCGAATTAACTACCCACACAGGGACAGGGAAGGATGCACAAAAAAACACAAAAATAAGTTTTTGGAATGTTCATCCTGTGTGATTTACGACATTCCATTATCATGTGGGCGTTCCTACGTAGGACAAACTGGCCGCTGCGTCAATGAACGTGCAAGAGAACATGCGTCAGCTGTCAAACAGACGCCGTCAGGGCATCTGGCAGTACATTGCGCTAGATGCCCGTGCACACCTTTGTTTACTAACACCGCCATCCTGGGACGACACAGCGATAAAACCACAAGGGAAGTACACGAAGCATTCATTATCAAAACAAGGGGCGTTGACAAGTGCGTCAGCGAGCCGTCTGTGGCATTGTTAGATAAGGAGATTCTGTTTTTAGAGAGAGAGTGGGGTGGCAGGAAATGAAGTGGTTTTTTATAGTATTTAAGTCTTTGTATTTTCCAATAAACCTTCAGTTGCGAGTGCGCCACGTGTCGTCGTTACCTACTTCTTTTGTCCCTGTCTTTCGGCGCTTCCTTCCAGCCCTCCCCTACTCCTTCTCAAGAGCTGCGCTCTAACAACGCTCTAATACGGCATTACAGAAAATTGTAAACTTTTTTTTTTTTCCTTTGTACGATAAACGTTACAATATGCTTTTTTCCCAGCCCTCCTTTCCTCGCAAACTTTTATTAACCTATAACTGACTATGGGAGAGTCGAAATATACTCACAGATTATTATCCAACCGGCAAAAACATAACAGCTTTTTTATTTGTTTACTAGATTTTTTTAATGAGCGAGTTTTCTGCTTATTCACAATCAACCTTGCTTAACACCTTTTTTTTTCCACGGCTGACAGTATAATAGAATTTACAACCGAGGAAACTCTGCGATCGCTACCGCAGTTTGCCGTTTGTCACGTCGGCTGTCGAACGATAGAGCAATACACCCAGGCTTTACCGTCGGTTAGTCGACACCGTGAAACGTCGCGATCGAATAGCACGACGCGCGGCAGGCCCATTGTTAAAGTCGGCTGTTTTGAGAGGATTGAAAACGTCCGTAGGCCAACCTCAGCGATGGATTCTTGAGCGCCTCCGAGTGGCGGCCCCCTTCGCCAAAGGAGCGAGGAGGAAAGCCATAAACCAGTGAACATGAAGCTGTCGGATTGGGGAATTTCCGCCTTCCCGCAACCTGCTGTCCTTGGGGAGCTCCCTCTTTGCGCTGGACGCCGCACTGCTTGTCGCCGTCGCCAAAAGTACCTAATGAGCTTCTCGTAAATTGGACTTCACTTTCGCGCCGGCCCTCGAGTAATCGTGTCCTTATTTGTAAGTTTTCTGCTGATGAAAAAGAAAATGTTCGCGTTTTAAAAATAAAAAAACGACGGTAATAATAAAAAAGGAACAATCTTTTTGTCTCGGTTTACTCGGTGTCAAGCTTAACCGATTAACGAGTTTAAAAAAAATCTCGATTGAAGCATTGATTGATTAGTCGGTAGGTTAATCGATCAATCGCCCAGCCCTATGAGTACGACAAATCAAACGTTACTGCCCAGGTAGCACAACTACATTTTATTACATTTTACTAAGTAGTGTATGGCGAAACAAGAACAGGTAAAACTGGCAGTTGTGCGCAGTGTCGCGCTGTGTGTTCGTCCTGTGCATGAAGGTCAAGCTCACACATACCAACTTTCTAACGAAACAGATGTTGATTTCGAACTGTAAATTTCGACAGTTTATTCATTACTTTCAACACTCTGAAATCTTGGCGTCTTCCCCGAGCGGCGAGCGCCAAGTGCAGCGGTCATGTTATGCCCCCCACAACCCCCCCTTCCCTTCCCTCCAAAGTACTTTACCGGTGACACAAACAAGCATGAGATAGCACCGAACCCTAAGTGCTCACATCCACGCCTCGTCGTCTGACCAGCCACTTTCTTCTTGGACGGCCTTTGTTTCGCCGATGGGCCCGCTCTCTCGTCGTCATCGCAGCAGCAATCACAATGATGTCCAGTCGCTGTGGTCATCAACACTGTCGTGGGAGCCTTCCCATGAACCGACACGCGAAGACCGCCGAAATCACCTTGTCCGCTCCGTCGCCGCCTTCTGGTGTGCTCCGTCTCCAGTTCTTGTTATAAGCTATGTGCTTACCTGCGAAGAACTTCAGCACGAACCATCGACGATTCAATTTCAGAAGTGTCCTTCTACGTAATCTCTTTTTACTTCTTATCGTCTTTGTTTGTTACGTTAGCTGCGAGCGCGAGGCGACCATGAAGCTTTATGATCTCTCACCGTCTTGTTATGTTTTTCTTCCTTCGCCTCAGTTCCCACAGCGGCGGTTCGCTTTAGGTTTCGCTCTCGTGCAAGCGACTTCTTGAACTGCGACCCTCAGAGCGTCCGACCTGGACACCTAATGACCAGAGCGGTCCGTCTCAGTTTGATTTCGGCGTATACTCTCTCGACCGCGAGAAATTCCCAGAATTAGAGAAGACGCCACGCCGGTGTGATTCGCAGGACGAACCAGCGACGACCATTTACTTGCCCGGTGTGAAAGACGCCATTTTCCGTGTAGCTAAAAGTTACCCTTCTCTTTTTTACTTTCTTTCTTCAAACATTCAAGGTTTTTTTTTTTTTTCTTTTTTGTTTTTTTTCTTCTGGGAAAGGGCACACTGAAAAAGGCAATCCCGATGGCATAT